GGTGGATTAAGTAATCACCAGGGGTGGGGGCCGGGGGAGAGGACCTTAGGTCCCCCCCTTATTGTTATTTAGGGCCCCCACCCACCACGCAGGGGTGGGGGCCGAGGGGAGGACATTAGTTCCCCCCCTTATTGTTATTTAGGGCCCCACCCCCCGCACAGGTCTTTCAGCCTTTTGGTAGATAGCTCCCTAATACCGTGGGAATTAGGGAGTTATCTACTAAGCGGCTGCTTATTTTATGTTATTTTTAAGTGAATTCCCTATCCACATTTGTTTGCAGGACACTTGTCCTACTCTTACCCCCATTTTACTTCCTTTTGCAGCCCTCTGGCCCTTTCCAGGAGTTTTTCAGAGACATTTTTGTGGCCAAAAGTTCGGGTCCCCATTGACTTCAATGGTGTTCGGGTTCGGGGTCAAGTTTAAGCCTGAACCCGGACTTTTTTTCAAAGTTCGACCGAACCCGCCGGACCCAAACATCCAGGTGTCCGCTCAACTCTAATTATGACTCTCTCTCGAACCTGAAGTTAAACATGACTAAATGATAACTGCTCAATCTTACCACTCACAAAACCACTCACTTTATTTCAAACATAACAAAAAAACATACACAATAAAATATTTTATTTACTAAAAATGTTATTTATCTGTTGGAGTACCCATGCAGACATCCAGAAGCCTCAAATTAGAATAGTTGAACATTGCTGCAACATTTCCAAGGGATATGAAAACCACACTGTTTCCAAACACTTCTATGTCTACCAAAAAGAACCTAAATTTCTAAAATTTATAAGTATACAGAAATGTAGTATCCCTTGGAGAGGGGGCAACATCAAAACTATTTTAGGCAGTAAATAAATGGAGTGGGTTTTTAATTTAAAAACCTTAGTTCCACAAAGTTGAAATGCTGATTTCGATATTTTTAACTTTGTATAACTGTTTTTACTGATTTTAATGTTTTTATATGATTTTAAACTTACTCTATTGTTGCTTAGTGTCTCAGTTCTCCCATTCTTCACTGTTCCTTTTTGTTCATATCCCTTTCCTCTTTTTTTTTTGGCCACCTTCTTTTCTCTCCCCTCCCAATATATGTTCCATGAATGATCTTGTGAAAACTGGTTCCTTATCATTCCTTCCCTCACCTTCCCAATATGCCGGTTCCCCCAGGTTTTTTTTATTTTTCTTATTTTCTTATTTTCTTGTTTTTCATTTTGGGATTTTCTTTTCTTTTTCCCTAGTCTCATATATTCTAAAATTCTATTACTTTTTTATGTGCCACCTCCAATATGGCCACCGTGAGCAGTCATGTGACCCACAGCAGTCTATCACTATTTCTGTTATGGCTCAGTCCATTATTCCACCTCACTCTTCTGTAATTCCCACTTCTATCTTGCAAGTTCCTTTAACCTTCCCTTGTAAGTTTTATCCTGCAATCCATGACCAAGTTTAGTAGCCCTTCTCTGAACTCTCTATAAAGGATCAATATCCTTCTGAAGATACGGTCTCCGGTACTGCGTACAATACTCCAAGTGATGTCTCACCAGTGTTCTGTACAATGGCATGAGCACGTCCCTCTTTCTACTGCTAATACCTCTCCCTATACAACCAAGCATTCTGCTAGCATTTCCTGCTGCTCTATTACATTATCTGCCTACCTTTAAGTCATCAGAAATAATTACCCCTTAATCCCTTTCCTCAGATGTTGAGGTTAGGACTCTATCAAATATTCTGTACTCTGCCCTTGGGCTTTTAGGTCCAATATGCATTATTTTGCACTTATCCACATTAGATGTCAGTTGCCACAACTCTGACCATTTTTCTAGTTTACCTAAATCATTTTCCATTTGGCTTATCCCTCCTGGAACATCAACCCTGCTACGTACAGTCAGGTCCATAAATATTGGGACATCGACACACTTCTAATCTTTTTGGCTCTATACACCACCACAATGGATTTGAAATGAAATGAACAAGATGTGCTTTAACTGCAGACTTTCAGCTTTAATTTGAGGGTATTTACATCCAAATCAGGTGAACAGTGTAGGAATTACAACAGTTTGTATATGTGCCTTCTATGTGCAACAGTGTCAAAAGCCTTACTGAAATCTAGGTAAGCAATGTCTACTGCATCACCCTGATCTATTATTTTAGTTACCCAATCAAAAAAATCAGTAAGATTAGTTTGGCATGATCTCCCTGAAGTAAACCCATGTTGTCTCTGGTCTTGAAATCCATGTTATGACAAAACCAAAGAATTTTCCTAAGTATAACTATTCCTTGTTTGCCTAGTCCCATTCGTTTATTACTTTGTGCTCCATGTATTTCGTCTGTTGGTTGTCTGATTAAAAACCACCGACCCCCAGACCACCCTCAAGTCAAGTGTGCTGCTAATTGACCACACAGGCTTGTGGTTAACCACCGTGAAACTGCCAAACAGATGGGTGGTCATCGTTCGTATGCACGAACACGTGGCGGCGGCCATCTTGTCTGTTGAACAAAACCGCAGTGTCTTGTCATCGAGTGCATGGAACTATTTTCGGACACTCGACGGCCCAAAGAACACTAGGACAACCATACGCTTGTGATTTCGTACGGAAACTACCGAACAGAGCGGCATTCTCCAAAAATAAATACACGAACGGGGGAAATATCATGAACTAAGGGACGAACCAGCAAAGTTGATATTTGTGTGTTTTACAAGTCCCGAACTATACCGGCTACACAGCTAAAAACTCTAGAACTCTTTTGGGCAGGCGCCTCGTGTGTAGCCAGCTAAACTTTGACTTCCATGAAACCCCTGAACCGATCTGGGGGATTTGTGGATATGTTTGTCACCCAGATAGGGGTTATCAGGGGATATCACTTTTGTGGGTTTGCCATGTTGTTTAAGTGTACTTTCGGGGTACCAGTAAAATATTGTACTTTTTGTGCGGGGAGATAATTGAGTTAGATAAGCTCAGCTCTAGATTCAGTTATCTCCCCAAGCACAGAAGAGGGAGTTTTCAACTGTAAAAGGGGAGTGTTGTAAAACTGTAAAAACATGTTGATTGGTGTAACAGCTTTGTCTCCATGTGCCCCACAAGGTCCAGGGGGCGTACCCCTTGCATTTGGAATTGTGATAAAAGACCAGCCTGTGGCATCCATTAAACAGTTCGTTTTACCCCTTCATGAAGTCTTGGCTCATGTTTGGGGGATTGAGAGCTATAATCGTTACTTTGCTCTATTTCATCTGGGATTTCAGGAGAAGCTGCAAGGATCTCTCCTACAGAGATACAAGGATCAGTTACACATGTGATTTTAGATGTTCAACAATCCTATCCTTTAACATGGTTTCCATTACTTTCCCCACTACTGAAGTAAGGCTTACTGGCCTATAGTTGCCCTACTCCTCCCCATTACCTTTCTTGTGAATGGGCACAACATTCGCTTACTTCCAATCTTCTGGGAATACTCCTGTTAACAATGAATGGTTAAATAAATCTGTTAATGGTTTTGCTACTACACCACTAAGCTCTTCTGTCTTTACTTTTGACAGTTGAACTAGAACCTCTTCCTCTGTAAACTCACATGTAACAAATGACTATTTTTTCCTTTCTCCTAACTGAGGCCCCTATCCTTCATTTTCATCTGTAAATACTGAACAAAAATATTCATTGAGGCAGTCAGCTAGACCTTTATCATCTCTACATACCTTCCTTCTTTTGTTTTAAATCTAACTAATCCTTGTTTTACTTCCCTTTTCTTATTTATGTATCTAAAAATGATTTGTCCCCTTTTTTTACTGACTGTGCTATTTTCTCTTCTGTGTGTGATTTGGAAGCTCTTATAACTTGCTTGGCCTCTTTCTGCCCAATCTTATAGATCATTCTGTGTTCCTCGCTCTAGTTTTTTTGTATAATTACTAAATGCTAACTTTTTGTTTTTTTACTATTTTGGCCACACCTGCGGAGTACCACGGTGGTTTCTTGAATTTTTTGCTTTTACTGACAAGCCCAATGCAATTTTCTGTTGCCTTCAGCAGTGCAACTTTTAAATAATCCCATTTCTCTTGGAATCTATTTAAATTGCTCCAGTCTGATAATGACCCCTTTACACATATTCTAATTTTAGAAAAGTCTGTTTTTCTAACATCTAAAACTTTTGTTTTTGTGTGATGTGACTCAGTCACTGTTCTTATATTAAACCACACTGACTGATGACCACTGGATCCTAAACTTTCACCTACAGTAATATCTGATACCAAATCTCCATTTGTTAACACTAAATCTAGTATGGCCTCTTTACGAGTTAGCTCCTCAACAACTTGTTTTAAAGACAATCCCAGTAAGGAGTTTAGAATATGTGTGCTCCTGGAACAAGCAGCTATTTTGCAGACAATCAGTGGAGTAAGATGCTGATGCAGCAACATTAGTTTGAGATATCAGGAAATCAATCATGAAATTATCTCATGATTGTACTGGACTGCTGGATTTCTGCACAAGGTGTTTCCATCGGTCACCTCCAACGATTTTTGAAAAGGAGATGTAGAATCATTTCAGTTCTTATGGTGGGATTGTTTAATCATAAAACCCTACTAGGGGGGCGGAGCTTGGACGCCATCCTGGAAGGTCGTAGGACGATTGAGCTCCTGATAAAATCCTGATAAAAGCGTCTTAAAAGGGGGAAAATACCCCAACACAGCTGCTTTGCACACGACAATAAATCTCCCGCACCACCGGAGTGACCTAACAGTGGACAATAAAACCACCATCCCTGCTAACCAGCAGATGCGGCCTAAAATCTAAAGCGGTCTGGTGCTGCCCTGGCTGGAGAAATGGCCAATCTCCACGCCTGGGGCGACGCAGGCTGTCACTCTTGCGGACAGTCCAAGCCATGTACTCCTCCCCCTCTGGGCCGACGGGGGTTATCCCGGCCTCCACTAAGCGGGTACTCACCTCCTGAATGCTCCTGGGTGACACAGGCGAAAGCAGCCTACACGCGCTCCCCCAAGATGGCCGACTGCGATGCTATGCAGACCTGCCTGCAACTCAGCAACTGGGAAGCAGACTTCAAGCAAAGATTCAACGCTATGTGCCTACGGTATTGGAGCGACTAGGAGAAGTGGCGAAAGCTACCTACAATGCCTGCACCCGTGGCGCAACCCCCGGAAAGAGTTCCGGCTCGATGCCTCACTCCCGAACAGAAGATTCAGTGGGTCTGTCGCACCACCTGTGGTCCGCGCTCTGGGCTGCGACACCGTCGACCGAGAAATCGACACCCCTCTCCAAAGACAGCGAAGGTGGTTCATGGACACGAGGAAATGGGCCCTGATAACACCCAATGCTGTTACTCTGATGCGGCTTGGCGCGGAGACGCGAGAGGAGACAAGATACTGCTGCACAAGCCTGACCGCCATGGACATAGGCTGAGAGAACTGTTATATCCAGGCTAACCACTTATTTTTTACTTATCATTTTATTATTGCTGCCTTGATGATAACTTGTTTGCAATTTTACTTTTAATCTGCATTCTATGTGCCCCTCCACTGGCAACCAACATAGAGGTCAGACACATACACTCACTTTTTGCATAGCTTAGTGGCCCCATTCTCTCAGCAACCTATGGCATCACTCACAAGCAATCACACATGTGCACAGGGCTCTTCAGCCAACCCACTTTAGGCTTAAACCCCAGCTACATCCTGTCAATCTTCCACAACCCAGCGGCAGCACTTAGCGAACAGTAAACACAAAATGTGACAGGCCCATTTACCAGAGCCTAATGGATAGGCTGCATACTCACACTAAGTTCCTGTTTAATACATCCTCGTTGTTTAATTCATGTACAATTGAGCAAACCTAATCGCCTAAGCTTAGAGTACCCATACCTGTTTGAATGTTAACTCCTACATATTCCATACTCAATGTATGTTAAATGTCTCAAGCCTGCTGACCTCAACGTGACCCACCACATTGGACGTACTTACTTAGCCTATAATCAGCTTGCATTATCAACCTTATAAAATTGTGCTTTCACTCTAAATGCCACACAAATGTTTAATTATATTTGAATTCTAATAGCCTGTAACTGCCGTCGTGGCATTACAAGCATGCTTGTTATTTCTTGCACAGCAAAAATTAAAAAAAAATTAAAAAATAAAACCCTACTAGCAGATGGTTAAGGACACCCTCACAGAAATATTTGAAACCCCTCCTCTGTTTGCTTTTAAAAATATATTATTACATGTTAACATACTACCAATTTCAAAATATAAGCATTCCATACTGAGGCATCTTTTGAATGCTGCCAAGGCACTTGACTTGTACCTGCCCTCTGGAAAAGTCAGAAAACTCTGACAGGTGCTGAAGCAAAACATGCAGAACAATGGTATCCTTGTGATGCTTTTATCTTCCACCATGGGAGATTTGCAGATGTGGTTGGGGACACAGATAGAGAGATTGAAATAAAACTCTAAGCTAATATTGTTGGAGGGAAAGATTGGGGAGACTGGGTGGTGTTATGGCGGGCGTAGGGAATTTCTTCTTCTAAATTCTCTTTCTCCTTTTCCCTTTTCTTCACTGCCATAGATCTATTATTTCGATACTTCAAATGTATCACCCAAATGTATAGATCAAAATCATCATTGCATACTGCTTGGTAGTAATTATTGCCTATTTGATATTTCGGAAGAGATATGTAAGTCCGCTTGAGATATGCCAAGACAAATTGTCAAAATGTTACTCAAAACTGCAATCTAATGTATATACTTAACTGTTCTCCCTGTACTATCACATATATTGTAACACTCCTGAAATAGTAAAATAAAGATTGCAAAAAAAAGCATAAAAAATCTGTCCCAGTCGCCACAGGAGCGAAAATTAGAGTGCAAATCATACAGTGCAAATGACTTGGACAAATATTCAAACTATAGATGTCTGTATTATTTTAGTGGTATCAAACGTTAAGAGAGGCTGATGCAGCCAGCAGAGGTCAGTCTAACATCTTCCAGAAGTTTTTAGCATTAGAATGTTACCGGCAATATTTCAATATCCATGACGTTAGTCTTTTAGGAATAAAAACAGTTAGATCTCAAGGAGTTTATATACTAAGACATGAGTTCTAATAAGAACCAAAGGGCAACATGTAGGAGTCAGTTGGACAAAATCTTACAAGTAACATATTTTCGATTTTCTCTAATTAAGCCAAAATGTGACCCTTTTTAGCTGATAATGGAGTCCATGTTTAAAAGGGAACTAAAGCTCAAATTGTGACTCTATCAGAAGAAAATGTTTGTCAGGGAAATAGATTAAGAGGTGATTAAGTGAAAATGGTCAGGAATTTATTTTGATTACAAATGTCATTAGTAGGAATACACATGTTGTTCTGGACAGATCATAACATAAGTCATGTCTCATAGTTTGTAAATCACATAAAACTAGTTAAGGCAATACAGTTTTTACAGAATATTACAATTCTACAGAGGTATTCGAATAAATTAGGGGACTGTAGATAATGGCCAATTACTCATTTTGGAACAAAAAGTTAACATACAATAAAATAATTTCAATGGGAGTTTGGAATATGATAAAACGAGAAGGATGTGGGCATAATTATAGACAACAGACTAGGCAACAATGAGCCACCTGACAGCAGCTGCAAAAGCTATTTTTGTTAGATAGTCGTGATATTTATGTTATAAAGGGATATTGATTCATATAAAGGAAACACAATTTTGCCTTTATATAAATAAATGGCTAGATTCTAATTTCGCATAGGCTTGGGCAAATTTGGGCAAATATTATCAAGAAAGAAATTATGGAATGGGAAAACATGCAGTAAAATAAATAGGAGAATAGAAGATCTTAATTTAGACAAACGTTGTATTTGTTTACATTTGAGGGGATATGAAAACGTACAAATTCATACAGAGCCAGTACAAATAGTTATCGTCTGCTTTATAACTGGACTTTACAGTGAACATGATTTGCTGAGACTTGAAGAAATGAGATTTCCCTTATAACAGAGTAAATGGTATGAAAACGTACAAATTCATAAAGAGCCAGTAGAAATAGTTATCGTCTACTTTATAATTGGACTTTACATTGAACATGATTTGCTGATACTTGAAGAAATGAGATTTCCCTTATAACAGAGTAAATGGTATGAAAATGTACAAATTCATAAAGAGCAAGTACAAATAGTTATCGTCTACTTTATAATTGGCCTGTACATTGAATATGATTTGCTGAGACTTGAAGAAATTAGATTTCCCTTATAAGAGAGTAAATAGTATGAAAATTTACAAATTCATAAAGAGCCAGTAGAAATAGTTATCGTCTACTTTATAATTGGCCTTTACATTGAACATGATTTGCTGAGACTTGAAGAAATGAGATTTCCCTTATAACAGAGTAAATGGTATGAAAATGTACAAATTCATAAAGAGCCAGTACACATAGTTATCGTCTACTTTATAATTGGCCTTTACATTGAACATGATTTGCTGAGACTTGAAGAAATGAGATTTCCCTTATAACAGAGGAAATGGTATGAAAATGTACAAATTCATAAAGAGCCAGTACAAATAGTTATCGTCTACTTTATAATTGGCCTTTACATTGAACATGATTTGCTGAGACTTGAAGAAATGAGATTTCCCTTATAACAGAGTAAATGGTATGAAAATGTACAAATTCATAAAGAGCCAGTACAAATAGTTATCGTCTACTTTATAATTGGCCTTTACATTGAACATGATTTGCTGAGACTTGAAGAAATGAGATTTCCCTTATAACAGAGGAAATGGTATGAAAATGTACAAATTCATAAAGAGCCAGTACAAATAGTTATCGTCTATTTTATAATTGGACTTTACATTGAACATGATTTACTGAGACTTGAAGAAATGAGATTTCCCTTATAACAGAGTAAATGGTATGAAAATGTACAAATTCAAAAAGAGCAAGTACAAATAGTTATCGTCTACTTTATAATTGGCCTGTACATTGAACATGATTTGCTGAGACTTGAAGAAATGAGATTTCCCTTATAACAGAGTAAATGGTATGAAAATGTACAAATTCATAAAGAGCCAGTAGAAATAGTTATCGTCTACTTTATAATTGGCCTTTACATTGAACATGATTTGCTGAGACTTGAAGAAATATGATTTCCCTTATAACAGAGTAAATGGTATGAAAATGTACAAATTCATAAAGAGCCAGTCCAAATAGTTATCGTCTACTTTATAATTGGCCTTTACATTGAACATGATTTGCTGAGAGTTGAAGAAATGAGATTTCCCTTATAACAGAGGAAATGGTATGAAAATGTACAAATTCATAAAGAGCCAGTACAAATAGTTATCGTCTACTTTATAATTGGACTTTACATTGAACATGATTTGCTGAGACTTGAAGAAATGAGATTTCCCTTATAACAGAGTAAATGGTTCTTTACATAAAGAGCAATGTAGTTGTGAGATTATCTGCCTACCTTGATTGTTTTATCAATTTTAGTAGATAACTATAAAAAAGTGTTTGTTTTTTTTCAAAGCCAGATTTGAAAGCTATGATATCTTAAAAAATATTTTTAGAATGGCAGGTATATGTACTATGCAAATCACTGTATTACAAATAGCTCCACAAATAAAGAGAACATTTTACTTTAAAAATGAAATTCTTCAAAATGTCACAGTTGTTGGTGGATGTTATGAGTGGCCAACATTAACATCTCCGCCACCAACAAATAATACGTTGAATATTAACTAGTACATTACAAGTGTAATAAACAAATTATGTCAGTTATCGTAGAATTTTACATTGAAAAACAATAGTGAAAAAGTAGTGAATGTGATTTCTACAATAATTAACTAATATACTAAAATTCTACATTTATTATTTAATATTGGTATATTGATATGACTATATCAAAAGCAAGTCTACTAATTCCATCCAAAACATCCGATATTGACTTGCTCCTTCTTCACAAGTCTCTATAAAAGACAACTATACAGGTAGCATCAGACGTTGTATTAACACTATTCTTTATGAATACTTCTGGAAGACGTAGCTTATTGTGTTTACAATCATTAATGTGCAGGTATTGATCACACTCTGGAGTCTATTGCGTACATTTTCCCTGTTGCTGTTCTTCCATATTTATAAATAGATCTCTGGTTTCTCTTGGACGATCCAATATCTGTAAGAGAGAAGGATCTATCTATTAATGTGAAAAAGATATAAACGCTTCTTGATGGGTGCCAGGGAGTGAGACTCATCATCACCAAAGAAACTAGTGTAGGAAATATGATGCACAATTCTAAATTTGAAGCAATTGTCATTTAAAGAAGTTAGCTGCCAATTGTCCCAAACATGGAATTTATAAAAACTAAGTGGGACACACAAAGCATCAAGCAAACACTTCTGTGGATATGCTAACAGTGGAGCAATCACGGCAGAAAATACTGTGATTTCCAACATATTCCTCCATTTTGATGTAACTGAATAATAATTAATTGTGTGGTCTCTATAGAATAGACAAGATAGTCTGCCTTTATCTTTCTATATGTGATCTTAGAACATTCTTGAATTTTTAAATATGGACTTCTAATTTGAAGTGTATTTTACCTCTCTAGATGCTATATTTTAGTTACTCAAAAGTCATTTGAGGTGTTCATACTATACGATACTAACCTCTGAATATATAAAGGCAACATGTGAGGACTATTGATGCCAAAAAGCAGCCAGTAGAACCTGCCATGCCCAACCAACAAGACCATCCAAACTCGTAGTGGATTCCTAAGAACACATTCTGTAAAACAAGGGTCGCTCTTTCAACATAGACATCCACTGCATACCATACGGAACCGATCATTCCTGGGATTCCTGGGGAATGGAACCAATTTCAATTTAATGAGTTAAAGGGCTAATATAATCATCAAAACAATTGTAACTTAATAAGTGATTTTTATATATAGATCATGCCCCTGTAGTCTAAGTGCTCAATTCTCTGCCATTTAGAACTTAAAGTCAACCAGGGTAGGAAAAGAACAACTGAAATTGCTCTCATATACACAGAATTAACCATATATCACAAAGATACTTGATGTATTCAATGTAAAAGAGATTTATTCACCTCTCCTTCGTCCTAGTGTTGCCATCATGAAGCTTTGGGGGAGTTACTCTTCATGCAACACCTACCTCCGGGCTGTCCTTCACTCCTTGTCCACTCCGTCTCTATTCTTTTTTATTTGCCCTGTTTGGGGGCACTTTTACAAGCAGGACAAACTTCCTCAGTGACTCTGGCACAATAGCCTTGTTGCCAGCTTGCCAGTATCAAAGAGTGTGCAACACTAACTGGTATACGCTGATGGGCCAAAAACTGATAAGACAGAAGACAGCTCATACCTCCAATTCCAAAGATGAAGCCAGCCATGTAACACATACGTAGTTTTATACGAGGCTCTTCCCTCAGGAACTTCACTGCATCCAGACCTAGTACGAGTATGATTAGAGCAAAGCTCGCCAATATATCTGCCGTGATCATCAAGGCTCGAGTAAGTACTATTTTCACTGGAAGCAAAACACAGTTGGTTATGTAATGCACTATATATATATATAGTTCTTTAGTTTTAAAGCAAAGTATTGAAAGTTATATAAAAAAAAAGAGCAAATTGAGAACAAAGGCCTCGATTTACGTCACCTCAGTATGGTACATGTATCAAGGTGAATCTTGGCAAGAAAAAAATGATTTTGCTTGAGATGAACATTAAGAAAAATGTTCTATTGTGTGCAATCAAAAAGACTTACATGGGTGCTCTGCCAAAATAGAATCGTATTGGTCACATGTTTTGATTCCATCCTGTGTGTTGGTAACACATTCCCACCACAGTCCTCTGCATTTTTGGCTGACCTGAAAAGACAACTTGTTTATCTGTGTGCACTAGATTTACTAGAACTTTGCTTTTTTTTCATCAAAGCAGAGTTACGCCAAAATACAACTGGAATAATCATGGAAGCTAAATAAACCACGATGCCATTAGCCAGCCGGATGGAATGTAGAGTCCCACTATCTGTACAACACTAGTGAAAGGAACTCTTTTAGTGCCGTAGTAGAGACCAACATGATGTGATGCTCTTTTTTGTGATTCTGATAAAAGTTATGAACATGATAACAAAAATGAATGCTAGGTTGTGTGAGATCCCAGCATGTAACAGAAAAGAACCAATAAGATTTCTGAAACATTCTTAAATGTCAATTTATTATATGTTTTCTGGTGTATGTTTCTATAGGGCACAGTATCTCTTAATGCCTTATTATAATGAGAAAACCCAGACTGAATATTATTAACTGTTTCTATGCCATGTATTGTATTCGTCTGTACATGGTAAACATTTTTAAATAAAATTACTTTAAGAAAATATTCTGTGAATTGTTGAGGATGTATTATAGACTTTTCTACCCTAGAAAACCATTCTTTGTTCTCTACTGTAACGCAGTTGCAGTCAGTTTCCTTGTTTGTTTTGTTTGCTTCTATATTTACTGTCCATGAAGATCAGAAACGACCTCATGCTTATCTGCTGCCACCTCAAACAATGACCGAACTTGTTAAGGAAATACATATACATAAAATGCAAGTCTCCCCACGCCAGTCACATATCCCCTATGTAGAAAATCATTCAATAAAAACCATGATCAATACAATTAAATATAATACTTTAAAGTTATATCGATTGCTGTGCTGAAAATAAGGTCTATAGCAACATGATGCTCACCTCTAAGCTGTCATCTGCGTTTACCATCCAGCAATCGGTCCAAGTTGCTACGATTAGAAACACAGTCGAGACAAAAGCCAGGCAGAGGCCCATGAACTGCAGCACCACAATCATTCTAATGTCTGGAGGTCTCCAAAACACAAATAATTGTTTACACATCAAGGAAAGTCAAATACCTGGAACTCACATCAGCACGTACATTGTAGATTACCCGTGTAAAGGCACAACTAAATTAAAGTGAACGCAAGTCATGAACAACATAGTTGTCTTTAGGTAATTATTAAAATGTAACCTGCACATCATGGTCTTGGTTTAATATTGTTGGATAACCTTTCCAAATTATTTCAAATTTTTGGATAAAGTTTTCAAATTATTTTAACAACATATCAAAATATTAAAACACATAGCATATATATAAAACAATATTGTTCATAATAATAAACCATTTTAAAAGTCTATCCAAAAATATTAAATCATTTGGAAAACTTATCCAACAATATTAAATCAAGGCCCATGATTGCAAAATACCCAACTAATATAAAGATTAAAAAATACACTTACTTGATGCTTGCTTCTGCCTTCTCCAAGTTGTAGGCAGCTGCCCACTAATGCTTAGTTTAGCATCCCACAATGCTCAGTGTGTAGCAGGCAGTTGTATGTGGTTTGAAAACTGGCTGAAAGATAGAGTGCAGAGAGCTGAGATTAATGTGACATTTTAAAATTGGATACAATTAGTAAGTAAATGTCTTAAGTTCTGTTCCATCGGCCACCTCGGGAAAATCCCTGGTGGGCCGCGATTGCCATGGGCAAGGAGGGTTCTCCTGCTCTCCACCGTCAATCAATTCTTAGTACACACTCTGCGCCATTGCCTTGCCTTGTAACTGATTGATAAGTAAAGCAAAAAACTGCTTTTATTATAAATATAGTTTAAAATGTGTTAACAATTTGTTAACAATTCTAACTAGCACAATATATATATTACATTTCCTGCTCTTTTATTTAACCTTAAGTTACATGTACAATGACAGATGTTTTTACATTTCAATCCATCAATTCAGATTTCTGGTTAGATTTACTGAACGGCTCAAAATTTAGCAATACAAATACCCAGTGACTGTGATAAGGGGAACTGGAAATATCAGATAATTCTGCAGCTACCTTATTATCATTTAATTCTGCCAACATGCCAACCGAAAGACTGGAACCACAGATAGACGTGCAGATTTAGGGTTGTTAGCATAGTGTAGCCAAGAGTTCTCTTATTTCTCCTTGTGAGAGAGAAGAGAACTCTGCAGTGTAATACGTAGGGGAAAAACTCTGCGGATGGGGGTGGTCATCACATCCCTGACTTTTATCTCCCACACAGCACCAACACCCAACATCTGCACTGTGGACACTAAAGAAAGGAGAGGATACACGGTAAGAAAAGCTTGGCTATATTTTGGTATTGAGTATTTTAGGGCATATGGGAAGAGCCAATAGGTGGGAGAATAAGAAAACCTGAGATATGGGCGCAGATAACATGGTGGTGCTGAGATAACATAGGGGGTGCAAAAGTACACCTCCACATTTATTCACACTTCCTCACGGCACAAAAACACACCCACATTCACACATGAAGTCATGCTACACAAATATGTATACCCTTAGATAAACAGCCACACTACACAGTTGCATGCCATATTTACACACAGCCACACTACACAAAAACATCCTCACATTCACACACAGCCATTTGCTACAAAAGCACCCTGAATTTGCAAACACAGCCACACTACACAAATACACCCACATATTCGTACATATGCTGCACAAATACATGTCTATATCCACATACTCAACATGCAACTTAGCATAGACCATGCTATAGAACGGGGTGCCCAAAACGTAGGTCCCAGATGTTTTAAGACTACAGCTTCCATGATGCTTTGTCTTTCTAAAGGCCTGTGAAGCATCATGGGAGTTGTAGTTCTACAATATCTGGAGATCTACCTATTGGGCACCCTTGTTATAGAAGGTGTGGGCTGGTTTGGAGTCTGATGCATTATGTGGGCTACAAATTGCCAATTCTAGTACAAGTTTGGCTTTGTCTATCAAAATATAACTGTCTTATACATATCTCTCTCCACCAAGCTGGATATGTGAATCCTTGCATTCATTTCTAAAACTTGACATGTCTGACTTTCTGATAGGAGAAAAAACTGTCTGCTCTATTGTGCTCAGATGATTTCACTGAAAGAATAATTTAGTACTAAGAGATAAAACATAATTTAATTTCCAGTACACGTCAATTCCAAATGTCTCACACTAGCATATCTATTCCATTTGTGTCAAGGGCCCCATATGCAGACAACTGTCTGGGAACCCGCAAAGCATCAAAGAAATAAATTGCCACTTTGGAAAAGTAAAGCATCTCTTTTTTTAACAAAAAGGCCCAAACTTTTTTTAAACTACTGGAAATCTGGACATAAACAAAAATAGCTTGTCCAGTCGCAGTAGTGAGCGCTCCACCGGATTGTGGCAGTTCCCACCGGGCTGTGTTAGTGTAGGCACTGGCAGCTGTGGAGCATCCGCCATCTTGTTTGGCCCATTATCTTCGTTGATTGAGCTATAATGTTCAGCCAGGGCCAGTGGTGCTTCGTGCATCGGGTCGGTGATGACCGGGATAACCCCCGCTGGCCCATAGGGGGGGGAACATGGACCCAGGCTGGTGTGTGCAGCATATTGTGGCAGTGGGAGAGCAGCCATGTCCCCCCGCCATCCATTCCTGTAGGCCGCAAGACCTGTTCTGGTGGAGCCAATATGTGAGTCCACATATGTGGTATTGTCGGGTAGGTCTTACGGTCCCCTGTCATTTAGGTGCCAAACTTTTCCCGTTCTCAGCTTTCACCAGTTGCTAAGTGGCTTAGTTTGCCATGTATTGCAGGAGCTGCAGGGATACACGTCTACACAGGCTCTGCTGTCAGGCCCTGCTCACCCAGGATGCCTTTTTTTGATGAACAACATATTATTTAAGTTTAAACATGTTATTAAAGTGCTAAGTAATAAACATTGCATTTTAATTTTCTCACCTCATGTTGTGTGTTTTTATACACATGGTAAATTAAAATTCTTATCATTCATATTTTATTATAACTGAATATAAAAGCTTATGGTTATGTGTAGTATTGTCTCATTGTGCATATTTTATAAACAATATATATAAAGTACTCTCTTTAGGATATCTCGTGGCTCATCCTTGTTCTGTGGGGGCAGACATTTTTAGCTACTAAAAAAAGCTCTACTTTTCTGACTGTTGTTGTAAAATCCCCATAATTCTCTGAGATCAATTGGATGACATAGAATACTGAGGAATCTAGCAGTTACAGCCAATCGAAAATCTAATTCAAATAGAGCCCTCCACCCGTTTTGTTCCTTGTGACGTGCTTGCTGACTGGGAACTTTATTCACAAAGGGCTAAGCTCAGTCAAATGAAATTTAAACACAATTGTAACTCACAGACTCCTTTAAATAACCTCAATGCACACTTACCTGTCCTGGCCAGTCTCTCGTTCGCTATGAGTCTAAATAAGCATACCTGAGAAGGTTCACAATAAGGACATAACAACCAAAAGCCATATTCATTGTAACAAGATTGTATTGTCTGAGCATCCCAGGACATATTTGATATCAAGACATTTCTCATTTTATAATTTTTGGTAAAATGCTTTTATCAATAAATAAGTCGATATAACCAGTTTTCTAACTTTAAAGGGATACTCCAGGCACCCAGACCACTTCTGCCCATTGGAGTGGTCTGGGTGCCAACTCCCACTACCCTTAACCCTGCAAGTGTAATTATTGTTTACATTGCAGGGTTAAGTCCTCCTCCATTGCAGGGTTAAGTCCACCTTAGAACACGAAAAGTGGTTTAAAACGCAGCTGGAAGTGCTCACGCTATGTGAGGATCTCCAGCGTCGCCAAAATCCCCATAGGAAAGCATTGAAAGCTTTATTCAATGCTTTCCTATGGGCAGGTCTAATGCGCGTTAGGTCTGCCCCGCTGTCGGCCGGACATGCGCAATAGGTCTCCCTCGCCGGCTGACGTCCCTCGGCGCTGGACTCCAGTAAGTCAATGAAGGGGTTTTAACCCCTTCCGCAACTTGGGATGGGGGGCAGGAGGTAGAGGGGCACTAGAGGGTCCTGCAGTGCCAGGAAAACTAATATGTTTTCCCTTTAAGGAGAACCTAACTGTATTTTATTACAGACACCCCCTCCTGGCGAAATGGGAATTAGCATGTTAAAAAAAAAATAACTAAAAGCTTTGTTCCCTTGGGTTGAAATAATGTAAAACTAAAAGATCCCATCTGCCAAACTGTCCATTTGAATTTTTTCACCATTAAAGATATTTCCTAACGCACTGTTCCCATACCGAAAATCTCTTGATGTTGTATTTTTTTTTCATAATTTTTACTTTGTAGTTGCCCGTAGAAATAATTTTACTTTCACCTCATATTGCTTTGAGTGTCTACACCCTTCTTTTCAAGCCTTTTAAACGTGAACATTTGCAAGGAAAATCTACTCATATTTACAAAAACAGAACAGAATTTGCAAATGAGAACAAAATGCAAAAAATTTTTCAATGTACATGGTCTTATCAAGTCTTCCATTTTCCTCTTTTGCCTTATGCATTATCTGAATAATTATGGAACATAATTAAGCAATAAACTTCCTTATATTAAGTTATTCTACTTAATAAAATTATCTTTAAAAATAAATTTGCACAATAATAAAAGTTAAACATTTGTTCAAAATAACTGTCTTCATATTGCCCGTATAAGTGCTCATAGTTTTTAGATTTTTAAATGTACTACAGGTAAAATGGTAATAGATAATATTACCTCTGTGTGTGTGTATGTATCTGTTTGTTTGTCTGTCTATCTATCTGCATACATGTTAGATAAAATAGTAAATAATATAGTATTATATGCCAGGTATTATATATAAAATAGTATAGAAAATATATTTCCACATGGCAACGTAACAAATTGTGTTCTTTTTTTCCAAAAATATCTTTTGGGGGGATTTATTAAACAGACCTTCTAACTAGCATAGTAATATATCCATACATAATAATCGTTCATAAAAAAATATGAGAATGCTAATATATTCAGCCTTTCTAAAAGGACGAATAGGATACAGAGAATATTAAATATATAGATGTTCTTACATAGAATTTTTTTGCCAAAGTTTTATTAAAGCCTTCTGCTCGTAAGTAAATAAATTAACTTGTGATACCATATTATTTCAAAATATACATTGCATTAAAAGCATCTCAGAAAACCATTTTGTTAAAAACCATTTCATGTCAATGTGTGATATAATCTCATTAAGCATATGACCTTGTCACAAAAACATCCTTGGGGTTGTTAATTTAATAATTATATTTTAAACCTAGACCACTCGTCAAATTAATTTGTTACACAGTTACGTAGGTTGAAAAAAGACTTGTGTCTTTTTAAATTAGAGTTGAAAACTCAAATACAATAAAAAAAATCTTTAACATGCAAAAGGACAAAATACAAACTACTACTCGGATGAAAAGCATAAAAACTAATCACTTTGGAATATCCGAGTGATTTAATCACAAAATATCCCAACCTTTTTTTTTTATTAGACACACAAGAATCCTTTAGAAAGTAGGAATTTTGTTAAGTTACCTCCACTTTCTGCAAACAGGACTCATTTTCGTTATTCCACGCTGTCCAAATGGAAGAAAACTAATTTGTTTGACCTCTCGGGAACTAGAGACCCGTAATAATAGACTTTGTTTCAGAAAATGTCAAATTGGAAACGAAGTTCAACCAGACTAATCCAGCAAGGCCAACATGTCGATCTCAAGTCACCTCTCAGTGAGAGGGGCAAAAAAAAAAATAAAGTTTGCAAGGATTGGTTGTTATAAAAGCCAATATCCGTGTTACTCTATTTTAAGCTTTTCCAAGTCATGTCTGATGTGCCTTGAATTTTTACAATGTGATTTCTAGCCTAATTAACATTGTAATTGCTTGGAAACTCTGTGCAATGTCCAGAAAAACATGTGCTGGCTTCTGGAAACTATGGACAAGACATGTGATGGAATGATTCTTCCTCTTATAGTACAAACTCAACTATATATTTTACGTGGTATTATTTATTTATTTTGAGAATGTTCTACACAAAAAAAAAACAACCTGAGATTTCTTTTCTTTTCAAGTATTTCCTGGGGTGCATGAACCATATCATACAGTTACAAGGCCATAGGTTTGTAGAAAACAGACCATTAGCACATATTACATGCATGGTTTGGTTGTACATACACACAAGCAGATCTTTTCAGGGACCGACTTCTGCAGAACGTTTGTTCTATAATTGAGAAGCTCAGAATGAAAAGTTCTTCTATTTGATTCTTTGTTGCAAATGGGAATATCGACGAATGTATTTGAAGTTGACTAAAGGTTATTGAAGATGTTCATGATCCGGTGGGAACATGTCACTGAGGTAGAGTGGAAGGTCTCCAGAAAAGTGTCATGAAACAGTGAAGGGTATACGATGTAGATGTGTGTGTAAGCCAGTGTAGATCTCTTTAGGGAATACAATGAATGTTATCGTAATCATATTTCTAGAGAAATTAGTATAGTTATGTTGATTCTCGTGTATTGTAGAGGGTTTATGATGCATCCACAAATATTTAATTCCTATAGTTAATTACTGCTATTAGTGTTTGTTTGTACATTATAATTCATTCCTTCAATCAATTTTTAAAAAAAGATTTGTTTCAAAACACAGCAACCATTTAGGACAACATTCTTTTGGCAGGTACCATGATTATATCCAAACGACTTGCAGGGTCTGGATGTACATATTAAGATGACTTAACTTGACTCACAAGGTAATTTTGCTGTGATGATTAATTGGGAATATATAAATTGGGAATAAATGTCATTCGTGCATTGTTTTTGGAGATACATCTTTGGAGATTCCATTTTTGAGAAGTTTTGCTTTTTGGTGCAGATGGTGTTTGTATATCATGAGAAGGAACCCCTGGGTCAATTTCTATTTCAAGAGAGGAATTTTGGAAGTGTTCCAAGAATGGAATCTTTGGGGGGGGGGGACACGGACAAATTTATGGGTTACTTAAAGTGAGTGTGAAAGGGAACAAATGTTGGTAATGAACATGTGTTAAGTTCTGTCTAATTTTTTTTTTAAATCAATAAAGGGGACCCTGAGGGTGGGGGCACCCTCAGGGCACTATAGTGTCAGGAAAACCGCTTTGTTTTCCTGACACTATAGTGATCCTTTAAAATACCTTGGATACAATTGTAAACAGTTTTCAAAAATCCCATAAATATAAGTCTAGTAAGTGATCCATGTTCCATGCCACTCTGAATATCATTGCAAACATTTAGTATGTAAGTTACTGTAGAGTGATTTAAATAATGGCTGCGCTGAACTTGAGCCAAAAAGGCATACAGTTTTTGATACCTGCACAGTTGCACCTGGGCTTGTTTTTTAAGACCCTGGATAGTTCACAGGTTGGTAAATTGATACCATGTTTTATATGGATTTAATGTTTTTAGAATTGGTACAAGATGGTACAAATTTCCCGTGCTGTGGGTATTACAGGGACACTCCAAATAACTTTAGTTAGCAGTTGTGGTTATGTTGTCCTCGTGCTGTTCCCCTAGTTTAATGTCAACTAGTGGACTATAACCATTAGCAGTGTTCTCAACATAAAATATTTGTACATAATCATCTCTGAAGCAATGTATACATAGGGGTTTATTCACTAATCTCTGAATTGTACCAAACTGAAATTTAAATGGCATAACATACAATAAAATAGTCAGGCTGTGATTGTAGCTGGCTTGGAGATTTTTTCCTGATCAACTTTTTTTTTAGCCTAAATTTTGCCATTCAGATTGTAATTTGATACAATTCAGAGTTTAGAGTAAAACTAACGGCTCACTTGTGAGTTTTGCACTGTGTATCTAACTCAATCATTGATTTATTTTGTTTGAATCAGATTCAGAAATTATCCCATTCTGTTACATTTTGAATGATTAATCTACAGACATCACCATTAAAGTCCATGGAAAGTGTTATAGATAGATAATTTGAAAGTTTTTTTTTCTAACAGAATGGAATAATTTCTAATTTCAAACTAATTAAATTGAGGTCTTGGTATTTTATTTTTCCTCTTCATCTACCAAACCTAAAATATTGCTTTAATTAAAAAACAAGGGTGAACAAGTTTCATCACCATGGCCTTCTGTAAAGTCCTATTACTGGAAGAATTCACAGAAAAACATTTAATCTGTAACTATTAGGGTGGGGTACCACAAGGGCTCATAAGCCAAATGAATATACTAATTGATGATTAATCCAACCTTGGCTTTTGGTAATTGGCATGTTGGCAATGACTTTCTTTGGCTACATTTGCCTTGTCCGTGCATGGTCTACTTCTCTTATCTTTTGTTGTTCAGATTTCTTTTTTATGGGCTCCAGAAATCCAGACAGCTCAGGGCACGAAGTCCATAGACAACAGAATGGGGCGCCAGACAGTTTAAATGACTCTACAAATAGCTTAATAGACAGAGTATTATCAGCTATTCATGGAATCCTAAGCCCTCTGTTTTAAGAGTCTTCCGAAAATAAAATGTTCTGTGTTCTTAGTTTACTGCCAAACTGTAGAAGAATGAAGACTCTATCAGGATTACTACAAAATGAAACAATAGGGGTGTCAGTCATGACCGATATTTGGTTGATAATGTAAGTCAACAAATAGAAACATGCTTTCTTGGGCTTTTATTGGGGACAGATTGAAGTGGCAAGCAGATGCCATCTCTGGGTAGGAAGGGTATATTTAATGAGGTGTTGGGTTCTTTAGTCTACTAGTTAAGAAAGAGCATGAAATTAATTGCTCTCTGGATTATTTCCAAAATAAATCAACAACAAAGGATTTCTTTTCATGTTAGGGAATAGATTGATATTGTAGGTCCGTCAAGTAGTCAATTTGAAGAGCTGAGTGCATATACTGTAATCCAGTTGTAGTATTAGAACAGGCATTGAATTAGAATTTCACATGAAATAAAATTATCGCTAGATAAATTTTATTGTTTCTTAGTTGAGAAAGACTGTTGAATTTGACCAGGTGAATTTCAAGGTTTAAATGTTTAAGTTATCATTCATTTATTTCATATTAAGGGGCTATTGAAAGCAATCAATCCAAATTGACACATGATTCCTAACAATTTATCATTATGCATAGCTGACCATTCCGGTGCATTGAAACAGACAAGGGAGGGGCAGGGCCTGGTCGCCATACTGAGCAGACGCATGGCAGTCAAGCTCCTCATGTAACTTGACAGAAATTTAACATTTGTGTACTACTCACTCACTATTCGCCTCCCTCAGTGGCACCTTTGTACCTGAGACAGCTGGTGGGCACTCGATGGTGCTTCTCTGCGACAAGCTGTGCTGGAGATATGGTCTTCTGCATCCGTGGGCTAGCATTGTTTCAGCGGGGAGGAACGGCCAACCTTCTCAGCAGAGTACATTTGCTGGAGTGGCAGACTGGCCCTTTATCCCCCCTTCCTCCCCGGAACGGTGGGGGTCATCCCATTCCACACCACCATGGTGCTTGGCACTAACCTGAAATGCGGCACTAGTCCACAAGGCCTCACTGTAGACATCAAGTTGGCAGCAGGCCTTAAGTGCTTCCAGGAGTCAGCAGCAGTTACACTATGAAGCTGGATGGAGGCCTTTTGCTCCACATTTGACCAAATCTGCAAGCAATTCTGACAACAGATCCAGGCACAGGGCTGTACAAGCCATCTCGGCAGATAAGCATGCGATCCCTGTTGATACCGGGTCCTCTTCCTCCCTTTCTGGGCCGGAAAACCCAGATGGGGCCTTCCCCTAGCCACACCAATATGCCACCTGGGACATTGCCCTGCAGATTGGGGTCAGTGAACATTGTGCCCCAGTTCCCGAGGAGGTTTGGGGCTGGGGTGTTGGAACTCTGACACTATACGGGGAGCACCATGCCACTACAACCTTCCACAGTACAGGCATTGGCTGTAACGTGTTGAACCAAGAATCAGGCACAGAGGACTCTGCTTGTTTTTCTTTTCAGAAACATATTTTGCCTCATGTGTGAAATTAATAGCAGTATGTCATATATTAATGCGCTTTCCACTCGTACTAGAATTCGTTCACAATGTTTTAAGCTGATTTATCATCATCACCGACACATATTTGTCCAAGACTTACTGTGACATAAGCATCTCATTTTATCATGTATGATCTTATATTGACATTGATACTCTTGTAACTATCCTTATCGAAATACAATCCAGCAAAATTGTGCTATAATTACGATTGCCTAGCATTGTTAAGCTTTGTTTATTCTACTACTTTGCTAATGCTGGTACGGCACCCCAAGAATGTTTGTTGCATTCAAGCACATTAAAAATAAAGAATGTTGGAGGTGGGGGCCTGACTGCTAAGAAGGCCATACGCATCTTCTGAGAGCGCCAGCACTGCTGAGCTTAATTTAGGCAAATTGAGACCAAAATCGTGATATTCGAAGTCTGGAACGACCGTGGTTTGCTGCTGAATCGAGTAGGAATCTGTGGACACATGCTTTTTATGTTTTGTTTAAGATATACCACAGTCTACTTATGAGGCCTAGCATGGTAGACGACCTGGAGGCTGGGGAAATCAGTGGATCTCTTCCACAGGGTCCGCTCCAAACGGCAAATCTCTTTGTGCTCCAAAACTTCCCCCCCCTTTGGACCTGCGGGGGATATCCCGGTTCCCACTATGGATGGAAACCTACTTACCTGCAACATACAACCCTCAGGAAGAGCCAAAACCCGCATGAAGATCCTCCATGAAGATGACCGCCACACCACAGCCTCCACAGTTTCCGGAGGGTTCAGAGCTCCTCTGCTGGAAAAAGCACTTCGAGACTCACTTCGACCAGATCTGTGAGGCGTTCTGGAGGCGCAAACATAGCAATCGGAAACACTGCACATACATACTTCTACCAGCATGACGACTTCAAACCACTGAAGTGGTCATGGTAGTTGGAGTAACCTTTTAAGTACATGTGGTAAAATTGGCAGAGCCCAACTAGCTAGGAAGCAGAGAAGAAATCTGGGGTCTGATTTATCCTCATCACCGACATATGTTTGTCCAAGATTTACTGTGACATAAGCCCCCTTCCCATACTTCACCTATTGAACCGGAAAATAGGGTTGAAGCAGCGGTTCGCCAATCCTGCTCCAGGCTGGTGCGTACACCTCACCGCCCAAACATGGTGAAGAACAGAAGGCAGAGGCCACAACCCCTACAATCTTGCAGAAATTCTGTTAAACAGCCCTGATACTACCCTCCTGCACAGCGCGCCAGCGGGGGCCAAGTCAACGCAACTGGCACCATTGGAGAGTTTCCGCTCAGCAATGTCACGGTGTACAAAGTGACAAGCCTGGAGATCTGCTCCTGCAGCTAGGACATTGCCAATCCTGCCAAAGCACGAAACAGGAGAGCACCATTGCTTGGAACCAGAGGGGTACTGCCTTGAGTTTAGATTAATTCTTGTATATCTGGTTTGCTGGCCCTCCACTCATGTTCATCGGCTTAACAACCCTATGACAGTCCAACAGACTCTTCAGGCTCTAGCATTTATGTGGCATTGGGTGACCTAATGTAGAAACATCTTAACAGACAGAGTGATACCTATGCAAAGAGCTATGCTCCCACTCTGTATCTTGTGCCTTCACTTGCCATACAGTTTGTTTAACCCCAGTGGTACAGTGGTTTCACATTATGCTTTTTCATTCTAAGTTACTACGGCCCATTTTTGTTTTATTTAAAGGCATTATAGCTAGCATGTTTCATACTCTTTATAACTTTCTATCATCCGCATCTCTAACTAGCACTGTACACCTCTGAGCTACATTTTTTAACTAACTTAGACAAAATTGTTTTATTGACTTGTGATTAGTCTAAATGCCAATTCTTAGTTAGACATATCTGACAAGCTTAATATGAGTGTTTTAGATGTGCTTGCAATTGTTGTTGTGGCATAGCAAGCTTTGTTGTTATCTAATGCACAGCAAAATTAAAGATTTTTTTTTTTTTAAAGAATGTAAAAAAAAAAATCCGGGAGGCAGGGCCTGGCTAGCATGGTGGATGACTGTGTTCTTAGAGGGCTCCTCACATACAGTTTGAAACTTAAACATTCTGCTTGGATTGTAACCTCAAGGAGGACTCCGGGGGACACTTATCTCTTCTTGTCTATTCAAATTCTTTTTTGAGAGTTTGAAGCACTTTTGAACCACATGCAGCCCAGAATTGATTTTGAGGCTTATGCACCTGGACGATCTGTGGAAGGGAGAAACGGACGATCTCCTGGAGCTGCCAGTGTGTATGAAGCATACAGTTGAAACCCTGTGCCCCCCCCCTCAGGACTGGTGGGGGTTATCCCTGTCCCCACCAGAAAAAAAGTTGTTGGGGGCTAAGGAGCAAAGACACTCTAACGTACTGTGATGTGAAGAGGCCTAGTGACATACCTAAGATAGCTACCATGCCACCTGAGCATCCACTGTCTCAATAGGAATCAAGGTTCCATGCAGCTTTTGACGCTGTATGCACAACTTTCTGGACTCGGATCGAGTCCTGCCAGTCAAAGCCATTACTTACCCTGCCTGTGACGGAGGGTGTCCCCAGTGACACCCCAGCACACTGCTCTCCTTCTGGGCCGAGAGCCAAGATGGTTGTCATGTCCATCAGCCATCCACGACCCTGTGGGACTGCTTGTGGAGTAGGGGTCTCGCAGGACATCAGCCCAACCTCTGAAGATGGGGGGCTTAGTGGTGAAAAGGCACCGGCTCATGTGCTGGCATGTGCTTGGAGAGTAGTGAAGGTGGAATATAGTCGATCTGAGCCACCTCCAGGTGAGGCAGGGAGGTACCGAGAGAACCATGCAGCAATCTGTAACTGGAAGCTGAGCCGAGCCGGACCCCAGTTGAAGCATGCTTGTGGAATTGGCTGAGATAAGGACACTGACTTTCCTGAAGCCTATTATGTGCAGCTTTAGCACACTAATTTGATGTCAGCTAAAACGTTTGGTTTTGTTTTAATTTTCTTCTCGTTTACTTATTAGTCAGCTACTTATCATTTTACTTATTCATGCGTAGTTGTATTACTCCTCTGAAGCTCCTAGCAACTAATGGTCTGCTGATGGTGCAGCTTTGACAAGTACCTGGTGGTCTCCACATTTCTAATTTTGTTGTCTACATGTCTAGAAAGCCTATCTGTACACAAGCTACTACTCTAACCTATACCTAGACATGCTTCTATAGCTTGTATTTAACACTCTAAAAGAATGCAGATCCAGCAACTACCAAACCCGCATTGTATCTTATCTGTAACCATGATTGCTAACCTACGCTGTTATGTCTTGGTCAGCTGCTTTAACTACTTTAGAAAATGTGTTCTTATTACTTATGCCATACCTATGTTCCTAAATGTTATTATCGTGCCTACTCCTGCTGTTGTGGCATAGTCGGTGTTTGTTCTTCCCGCACAGCAAAAATAAAGAATGAAAAAAAACAGACAAGTGTGTGTTACACTTATCCTGAGTGTGATCATTATATAGATGTATACTACAAAAGTGCATTTATGTGCAATGAATTCTGTTTCCATAACAACAAAACAAGATATGGTTACCACCATAAACCCAACGTCCATGCAACAAATGTCTATGATGTGTTATTTAGATATTATGTGAAGATTTTGTCCCATTACTTTATTCATCAGATCTGGAAACCTTCAAAAAGATGTCACCAAGAGTCTTGGGAAAATGATTTTAATACTTTATTTAAAAAGAAAGCAATGCAAAGATTCTATTCAATAGAGCTAAAGAACAGATGGTACATGTATAAATATAGATTCAAGATTATTGAAAATATTAATACTATTAACTAGTGTCTTTCAGATTTTGTACAATGACCTTACCAAAAGGGAATCCCAAAGTGGCTCCAGACATACCTGGCACTTGCGTATTGAACCTGTATGTTACATTGCAGCCCTATCCCATTGATCAGACCAGCCATCCAGCCCCATTTATGTGTGGTCACATACATATTGTTTTCTAGGTACGGATCCTCCCTCTGATAAGGAGCTAACAAGTACTGATGAGCACGCAGTATTATAGGCCTTTCCAGTCTATGACACATTGGTCTCTGGCTGTCTTTTTATTAAGAGTAACGGTCACGTGTCTTGTGTGGAATGCATCGGCCACATGTTGTATCAGTAATTCTCTCCCTACACAGTATTTATCTAGAATAGTAACTTGTATATAGTTTTTTTTGTTGGGTTCTTCTGCCAGTTTCACCACATCTTTATTGTTTTGTATATTTGTTTTTGATCAGCAGATATTTAACCTCCTGGTGACACGATGGTCGCACAACAATTATTAAAACAAAGGAAGATGTCCAGTGGCGTAATGCTCTGTCAGACCTGCAGCAATCACATGCAGAGAGGTGTTACTAGGGCCGCATAAACAAAGTGATTTAACTCCTAAATGGCAGAGAATTGAGCAGTGAGGCTGCAGGGGCATGTTCTATACACCAAAACTGCTTCATTAAGCTAAAGTTGTTTTGGTGCTTAGAGTATTCCTTTAATGCAAGTCTGGAAACAGAGGAGGGGAAATGAGATACAGAAGTGTCAATATGTAATAAGACGGACCTCAGCTGCGTTTCCCATAATGAGCAATAAAGGAACATATATATATATATATATTTTATTTTTATTTTTAAACCATCCAATGAAAACACTTGATGTCAGTCAGTGGAGGCTGATCCAAAGGGGCAGATAGAGCACTCAGAAACACTGCACATACATACTTCTACCAGCATGACCACTTCAAACCACTGAAGTGGTTGTGGTAGTTGGAGTAACCTTGTAAGTACATGTGGTAAAACTGGCAGAGCCGAACAAGCTAGGAAGCAGAGAAAAAATCTGGGGTAAAATCTAGCACCCCACCATCTCCAGTTGCCTCTTTGATAGCTAATTTTTTATATCCATTCTTATGTTTTGGTGTGTACAGTTTTTTTTATTTTTAGGTGCCCATATACTGTACATGTTTAAATGTTTATACGGTGTTAGAATAAGAATATTTTTTATTTCTTCTAATCAGAAAAAAATCATATTTCATCAAGATTTAGAAAATAATCTCAGCAAAATTGTTTACATCATTTTATTAGTCTACAAGTTATAAAAAAATCCATCAAACATAGTTCTATAGTCATAATATACAAAGTCATATGAAAAATAGTCTTGTAACACTGTGTATGTATTCATTGAACTGCTTTATGTACATGACAAACAGTTTCTATATGTGGTTACATCTTGACCTCTCCGTGCGTTATATGGAGATTTCGCAAATTTAGTATGTTACGAAAGCATTTCAACATTGTAAATATCAGAATGTAGTTTTATTTACTAAGGCAACCCTGGAATTAATAAATTAGCCATATAAAAATATACAAAAACATCACATCAATTGGTACACACATTTTAAAATTTGCCTACCAAGATGGCTGAACACAGAACCCTTCTGCTCTATTCTCGAAAAATGAATTATTTACTGATATGCCACTGAAGTCGTTTAAAAAAAGAGCAGACAAAGTTCTTTGCAGACTTTGATGCAATCCAAATTTTTCCCCCCAGCTTTTCTTAATGTCCTTTCTGCAGGAAATAGACAAATCTCTTCATGTTTGTTTTTGTAATCTTTGCGCCTTCGATATTAACTCGCTGTTTCTTCTTTTTTCTTGCTAGGCATTTTTGTGATTCTAGACAAAACAATAAGCTAATTACTAAATTAAATCTGAAATTTAGAGATTATATGTGGATTAACTGTACAATAACTACTAGAATAATTAAAGAAATACTTGTTAGTACAGTTCAGACGTTTGTAAAAGAGAAGATGCATACAGTTAGTATTAATGTAGTATTATAGAATTAACATAGCTTTAAGAATACATAATTACACAGGCATCGGTTTTTACTGTTGATTCAAAAGAAGGCAAAAAAAAAAAAACAACACAGTTTGAAGCGTTTCCAATTGTGCGAAAAAAAATCCTTCTTGACCCAAGAATGACAGTCAGATCTCACCTTGGATCAAGAAACTATTACCCCACTAATTAAAAAATATATCCCTGAATATTATGTTTTTGCAAGTATTTATCCAATAAAACTACCTCTTCAGGCAGAGAATTCCACATCCTTATTGCTCTCACTTTAAAAACAAAAAACAAAAAACCCTTCCTTTGGTTTGTATTGGCCTAAAATATATTTGTATAAAGTTATCATATCCCCTCGGAAGCAACGTTTTTCTAAACTAAAGAGGTTTAAATTTGTTAACCTTTCTTCATAGCTAACATGCTCCATTCCTTTTATTAATTTTGTAGCCCGCCTCTACACTTTTTCTAGCGCCATAATATCCTTCTAGAACAGGTGCCCAAAATTGGGCAGCACATTTAAGGTATGGTCTTACCATCAATTTCTAAAGAGGCAAAATTATATTTTTGTCACGAGAATGAATGCCGCTGTAGCTGAGACATTTTACTCACAGGAGTCCTGCCTCCTGGTTATTCTGTAGTCTATTGAATTAAGTGGATCCAGGACCAGTGCTTCCCTAAGGTAGCACAGGCAGCTGCCATAGGTCACCAGAGCAGGGGGGCGCAAAAATCAGAATCCCCTGTCTCCCTGCAGCCAGCAAACAGCAAATTGAGAGCAGTGTTCTTCACTGGCCGCTATGTGCTGGCTGCAGGCTCCAGCTTTTGTCCCACCTGATTACCAGGTATATGATTTCCCCCTCCCTGGTCCAAAGTAAGCCTCAGAGATAGGAGAATACACTTAAGTTGTTATTTTTTATCCACATTTTTTTTGTTAACAGCCCCTGAGCCCTCCTTTACAGCTCCCAGCGCCCACCACAGTCCCTGTCCCACAACTACAGCCTATGTGCCCCCCTCAACAGCCCCTGTGCCTCCCTCTAAAGCCCCTGCCCCACCACAGGCCTTGTTCCACCTCTACAGCCCCTGTGCCTACTCTACAGCCACTGACCCCCACTGCAGCCCCTGTTCCCCACTAAAACCCCTAACCCCCTACTACACATCCTTAATACTACAGTCTCTATCCCCCCATGTGCAGCCCTTATCCCCTACTACAGACCCTCACTGTGGCTGCATGTCTGTGTGTGTGTCTGTATGACTGTATGTCTGTGTTTGTATGACATTGTACCTGTATGTGTAGATTGTATGACTGTGTGCCTGTATGACTGTATTTGTCTAATTGTGTGCCTGCATATCTGTATGACTGTGTGCCTGAATGATTATGTCTGTGTTTGCCAGTATGGTTGTGTTTGTGGCTATATTACTATGTCTATATGGCATGGGAGGAAAAAGACACACAAAGGGTCCTGGGGGGAGAGGGACACACAAAATGGGCTGATGGGAGAGAGACACAGAATGGGGCTGGGGGAAAGAAAGAGACACCCAAAGGGGCCATGAGAAAAATAGAGACACACAAATGGGCTGGGGGATGTAAGAGATACACAAGGGGGGTTGTAAGAGACATACAATGGGGTGTAAGACACACTGAAGGGTGGATAAAATACCCTAAAGGGTGTAAGAAATTCAAAAGGGGGGGGGCAAAATGCCTCTTCTCTTGTGTAAATCCTTGCACTGGCCCTGAGTGGATCTGGTACGTTTTTGGTAATTATGTTATTCTAATGTTCTCCAAATCATTTACAAAAAGTAACCAGTCAAAATTATTATAGAGGAACTATTTAAAATCATGCTCACTCACTCCTATTTTGAATCACTTACCAGCCTCCCATGGGTAACAAATGAAATTCATCCCCTATAATCTCAACCAACCGAATCACAATTATAAGCATCTAATTTTATTATGCTAAGCATATAATATTTAGTTTAACCCCCTAAGGACACAACTTCAGAAATAAAAGGGAATCATGACGGAATATTTCCGTCATGTGTCCTTACGTGGTTAATGTTCTCTAAATCTACAGTGATTCTACAGGAAAGTCCAGTTCCCAGCACCTTATTCCTCTCCCACTCGACGCCCTATTTTAATTTGCAGTACTGATACATTTACAGGTTGATATGTGCAGTCTGTGCAATGCAGGTAAGCATGCTTACTTCCACAGCAATCTCTGGAACTGGTGCCAACTGCTTCCTGAGATGCTGTGAACCCATGAATACATGCATATACCTGCATGAGCCTCTACAATCATAACACAGTACAATCATAGCCATGCTCCCGTAGTACTGTACACATGCATGTCCAGCCATGCAATGGGTGCATTGTGGGGTTAATTCACTAAACACCAAATTGCAAAATTCCAGCTAAAATAACCAAACTGTGACTGCAGCTACGTTAAAAACTTTTTCCAAATCAGCACATTTTTCCTAAATTTTACAATATGATTCTCAATTCGCTACAATTCATTTTTTAATGCACAAATCTCTCACATTTTGCAATTCATTCCTGGAAACTGGATTTTATTGGCAGGTCACTTACAAACAGGTATAAGTATTACTGTCTACATTATAATGTGCAGTAACTGCACTGAATAGAACTGTATGTTCTCATTTTTGTGACTGATTATAGGGTCCACACTTTCCTATATTAAAGTAAATGATGTGTATGCTACATCAAACATTCTCTCGGGGATTAGTAAAACCATGTATGGGCCCCTTTATTTGTAAATCCACACAGTCCCTCTGTGATTTAAGAGCAACCATCTGTAACAAAGCCTGTCACAAGACAATATTCATGAATGACTTTCCTTATACACTGTACATTCATGCAGAACACTCTCAGTAAACATTTTTCCGGGGGAGAATGAATAGTGTGCAATATAGTTATTTTCAATGGATATTGTATTCAAGCTCCTGTCAATATTTGGTCATGTTTCTTTAAATACTCCTTAAGATTTTTCGTTGGCAGATCTCCTTCCTGAAGGTACTAATACTATTGATATTCTTTTTAATCTATAACACTTTGAACATCCCATAAAAGTTAACAAACAAACAAAAAAAAAAGGGAAATGGTTAGTGGAAAGCAAAAAACAAGGTGCAAGAGTGTACTGAGAACAGACAGCAGCTGAAATAGCCTGCCCTTTGGTGGGTCCCCACTCAGATCTCAAGCTGGTTTTAGCTCATCTTGTGCCATCACAGAGAGAACATATCTGAAGCATATCAGACTGGTCCCACCCATACGGGCAGTCCAGATCCAAAATGCCAGCAAGTTCCCTCTGCACGAGAGACACAGCAACCCCTGACGATCGTTTCAACCTTGCTAGGCATCATTAGTGAGGCATAGCTGATATCTCTCTAGGCACCGTGAGCAAGGTCAGTTATTCAAGGTCGGTTATAACATTCACAATCAGTTAAGGCAAGATCCAGATTAGCTAACAGAAACTCTAGATTCCATTACAAGAAAAAGTCCAGAACTAATAAGGAATAGTTAGGAGAAAGACCAGGTTATATCAGTATTGGTTGGAAGAAGTCTAAGACTGGTCAGACAGGATTCACTGCAAAATATTATAGCACACGTGAAATGTCAGGTAAGAATCAAGAAAGGTTTTGCAGATAAATATGAGAAAACAGTAATAATACAAAAATATTTTGGTTCAACATTGTGCAGCTATAAGCAAACATCGGCTTATTAACTCATCTGTAAGACAAAGCATGACATTAAATGATCAACGCGTTTCACCACATGCTGACATGTTGTTTTATAAAATATACCATACATAGACTCTACTGATACACCATCATGTATCCACACGAACATGAAATAATGCTAACTAATAAAGTAATCAATCTTCGAAGACCACATATCCCTTGCCTCACTTAGCTTTTACAACACACATGACTCTTCTTCATACGATTATGTGCTATCTCCATCTATTGCCCCCACACTTACCTTGAGAATTGCTGCAAGAACGCATTTGTAAAATATTATTTTGCATCTATTTGTATCAAATGTAACAGAAATACAAAAGAGCCTTTTTTGTTGTTGTTGGTTTTATTGTATCTGCAGGAAAGGTACATTTGAGATTTTGTCTCTTTTTCAGCGTGTATGTTGTTATATAATACAATGGCACTAATATTAAATTAATGAAGATCTAATTAGGATGAAAAACACTTGATTGTTCTACGTTTTGTTTGTTTCTACTCTTGTTTGTAAAGTTATACGTTACTATTTTCCTATCACGTGTATAAAAAAGATTCAGCAAGTTAATTACTGTCTACCATATGTGCATTCCTGACAGTTGACATTCAATAAAAACACCTGATTCAACCTATTCTGTGCTGGTTTTAATTTAACTATTTGACGAAAACACAAAACAAACAAGCTCAAACAATTCATCCTAACAATACAACCTACTGAAAATTGCTTTCTTTTGTCAACCAAGATACGATTTTTATTTTAGCCAACATATGTGTCATTATTGAAATGTTATCCAAATCTGCATCACAGTTAAATGGTAAATAATATCTTTAAATTATCTTTATTTAAATGCTTCCTCAGTATAAAGAGTGGATACATTGCTTTTCCCCACTAACAGGTCACGATACAGATAATGAGTAATTTTTATATCAATAAAACTTTTTTTTAAGTACAATATATGAGATTCTATCATCCCTGTGATATTCCATTTTTTTATTATTTGAAAGATCAGAACTGTTTGAGTGCACAGTTTTTATTTCCACATTTGTTTAACTTAAAACAAAACAAATTCGGTTTTCTTTCATAATTTTTTTCCTGCAAAATTTGGCTGTAATTACCTGTATGACCACGTTTGCTGCATATCTATACAGTAATTATTTAAAGATCTCTCACTGCATACTTCGTTAACACATGTTTATCTCCTATACGGTTGTGATATAGTATAACATTTCATAGCAATCTTACACCCTACATTGCAACTACGACTGTTATAAATTAATATAAAAAACAAACAAAAACATTTACACTCATCATGAGATCCCCTGATCGTGCCATGCAACACAGCTATAAGAAACACAAAAAAACACTTTAGTAAGTTAAAAATAAAACCAAAAGAAATCTTTCTTAAGGAACGTTTCCATTTAATTAGGCTGTATTTATTTGTTTTCTTGCTGTACAATTTTTACAAAATCAGAGAACTCTCAGTTTTTAGAATACATTACAGATATATTAAATTCTTTAGCACATGTCATTTTTTATATCTCGATGGAGTGGAAACAGACGATTTTCATCAGAAAGACCCACACAAACCAAGGCTTCTAAAGAACAGTCAAGTACCTTTCAACAGAGCATGTTTTGTCTTTACACAAGCACAAATGGCCCTTTTGTTTAGCACAAGTTGATACCGCTGAAAGACTGAGAAATTCATTGTTCCACTCATTATAAGCAGAACTTCACAATATGTTACAATTTATTCTCAAGGCTTTAAGATCGCAATCCCTCCCCCCTCCCCCTAAAATCCCAGTGTGCATTGATGCTGTATTTGAAAGTAAACATTACAGTTAGAAATGAAAAGCAATTAGTAATGGGATGTAAATCATTGTGTATTTGCTAGGATAGTGGTGGCTAAATATGGGTACTCTGGCTATTGTGGACTTTTCCTTTAATGCTTAACCAGCCTTCATGGAAAAAAGTAAATCCACCACATTCGGAATATCAGGTTAACTTTAGATATTGCAACTTGAGTCAAACCCTCATCACTTCATGTTCATATAATCCTAAATTGTTTTCTCACAGCTGGTAACTAGAGATGTCGCGAACCGTCCGCGAACTTCTCGCGAACGGTTCGCCACGGTTCGTCACGAGCTGTTCGTGGCGAACTCCGGTCAGCTGACACGTCCCGGCCAATCTCCAGCAGACCCTCCCTCCCAAACCCTCCTACTTCCTGGACAGCATCCATGTTTCCAGCTGTGAGAAAACAATTTAGGAACATGGATGCTGTCCAGGAAGTAGGAGGGTCTGGGAGGGAGGGTCTGCTGGTGATTGGCCGGGACGTGTCAGCTGACCGGAGTTCGCCGCGAACAGCTCGTGGCGAACCGTGGCGAACCGTTCGCGAGAAGTTCGCGACATCTCTACTGGTAACATGATTCCTTTGCAAATGAAACGTGCTACGGAAACTATTTGCACTTTATAAAAAAAAGCTATAATGTATATATGGTACACACATCCCAACATTACCTGCGTCAGGTAACTTTGGGCTTATACTGTCAGAGAGAGAAATAGCTACTTTAATAATATCCTTAATAATAATAACTACTTAAAAACGAAGAATCCTCTTTGGGTTTTTTTGATCTTTATATTTCACTGTTAATCTGTTAAATCAGTATATAGATTATATTAATATGTGCTCTGCAAACTATTTCCTCATATATTTTGGTGAACCAATAGCAAAAGGTCTAAATGCTAATTTCCTGAGCATACGTCAGAGACCCTGTAAATAAGACTCACATTAAAAACGCAAAGCCATTTAGTTATTACTACTGTTATTATTGTTAACCCTTGAAATGACAGAGACATTTACAATCCAATTTGCTGCTCAGCTAAATTTCTTTAGAATAAAACATACATTCAGTATAGGTACATAAATAGCGCATTCTTCAATTCAAATTCACTCTATATATATGTATAACTTTGGCTTGGAAACAATAAAAAAAGAAAATAAAAAAAAACCTGTAAAGATCTAATCTTATTTACAAAAAAATAAAATAAAAAATAATCAGAACATTCCATTATTTGTAAAACAGCATCGGCATGCAGCTATAGACAATGAGTTAGACATACTCTCTGGTAGTTGCTGATGGCTGAGATTGTCTGTAGTACTGCTGTCCACTTCGCTCTTCATTGGGGCAGGAACAACAAAGGAAAGACCCTCCAAGCATGGTGAGACTGGCAGAAGCCCACCCTACAAATAAAGCTGAGCCAAATTCATACCTGCAACACAATGATTGGGTCATAAAGAGGGGATATCGAATGTTGTGAAACAAAAAGTGAAACAAAAATGATGAGATTTACTGGATGTATCTGCCTGTAAGTCATATCAAGATAACTCTAAATTCTCTCCATTGTAGTTCATATTTTCACGCTTTTGGTCACTATGCCTAACCTCTAGCTAAGTGTGAGAACATTGTGTATTTGGCCTTCCATGAGTCCTACTAATAAACTGATTATTTGCAGGTACATGATCACTACAGTCTAAATTCCCACACATTGACAATACCTTTTGGAGATGTCTGCTCCCTTTGGTGGCTTTATCCAAATCTCTTTCCTTCTCAATACAATACTATCTCAATTTGCAAAAAAAAAAAAAGGAAAAATTTTGCCATAACTTATCGTCTAAAGCTGGCACATCATTCGTTTTAATGATGTAGCTTGCTGCTTCACTGGACATTGACCCATTTTCCAACCCATAAAATGGCACATCTAAGTAGAAGAAGTTAGATGCCTGAGGAAATAAGTCATTTTGACTTATTACAGGTGTCCATTTACTTTGCAACTTGGCTGAATTGGACCCTTAACAATCCACAGATAATGTCCAATCACTGTTATTTGACTCAAAGTGATGATATTGTCCTGGCTCTTTCCATGAAGAAGGTTTCTCTTACATTTCTCCACTTTGACCCTTGTACGTTCCTACTTAATATCTTTTAGGGTGTAATAAATAACCCATGAAACATTCTTGATTTCACTTGTACCTTTTTCATCCTCTATCTTAGTTCTTGTGTGTAGTTTTTCATGTTTATATTTACTTGAACAAAAATGCCTGAATAAAACTATGGATCACAAGACACAATATTTAGACCAAAGAAAAATGCATAATCTGTCTGAAAAGTAATTCTCATATGACTATGCATGATGGAAAAAATGATCTCCTATGTAAGGTGAACATCATTTTTTTACTTACTTCATTTTTTTTTTTTTGCACTGATAAAACATTTAATTGGTTTCCTTCTTTTTTTTATTAATATGTCATGGATAATTTATACAGTAAAGTTTGTCAAGATTTAAAACTTAAAATCCAGATAAAGATGTCTTCTCAAACAACAAAGTACGCTTCTCCTGATTAAGTAGTCCACTTACCTAGCATTAACCGGTGTATTTGGATTAAAGAAATCATGAGTGACTTGTGTGGCATACCATGAAACAGCTATTAATGTACAGAGACCTAAGGAACAAAGAAGGAAAAGAATATAGTGCTTAAAAAATAAATGATGTTCTTATTTCAGTGTAATTTATAACAATAATATCTTTCCATATATTCATATACATATTAGCTTTCAGCTGTGATGCATGGATGTGGCTAGCAAAGGGGTAATAATGGATCAGTTTGCCTTCAGTTCAGCTAGTCCAAACACATAGGTTTATAAGTGGGAAGCCAACAAGCATGTTCTAGATCAGCTCACATGTATACTAATTAGATAGTAAGACAGAACGTCATTTTCCAGATCAGGTCCTCTATATCTAGAACACTTGGAAGGCCTGAACTCATATTTGTCTTGTGTTATCTACTCTTGTAGAATATAAAATAATCTGTATCATTTTGCTGATAAGCTATACATTTTAGCATTATGGGGACAATAACTTATAAAATGTTAAGTAATGGTTAAGATGACCTCTGTGAGACATGGCAGAGACAGAGAGAGGGGTTAGATTAGGCACACAATCTGCTAGCTCTCATTTTCAAAGTTTGTTCATTCAACCCATAGTATGAAGTGTGGATCAAGAGTATGTTCTTTTGTAGTATATCCCATTGTAATGTCACAAACAGCTTAAATATAAGGAAAACCGATATATATATATATATATATATATATATATATATATATCTGTAATAGAAGGCTGCACTCACAGATTCCCATAAAATATAACTTTTAATAAGGCTTGTTAAAAAGATCAACGTTTCAGTCCTGCTTGCGGACTTGCATCATGATCCTGATGAAAGTCCGCAAGCAGGACTGAAACGTTGATCTTTTTAACAAGACTTATTAAAAGTTATATTTTATGGGAATCCGTGAGTGCAGCCTTTTATTACAGCCATTTGGATATTTGGAGCCCTGGTAGTGCACCCGGTCTTGGAAATTGTAGTCTGAGTGCAAGGTACAGTTGCTATTTTTATATATATATATAGATATATATATCATACTATTTTTTATGGGGCTTATATGCCCACTAATTTGCCCAGTGGTGACTGTAGCACCATGATTTCTATTTAACACTTATTTCTACTTTTTTACCCTTTTTCTATGCCTGTCTAGTTAGATTTACAGGGAGAGAGGCTTTTTTAATTTTAAATATCAGTCTGTTTTTTTAGACTGAATACTGACTACATTTCACTTTCCATCTCTCCCTTATATATCTATTAGCTCTATTGTGAGCCTTTTTGTTATACCTACTACTGACATTTTTAAGTGGGGAACTTTGTTGGGGGTCTAGCCATCTGTAACCCATACCCTTCTAGTATTTTACAATAAAGCTGATAATTAGGGTTGAGGCAGGACAGTAGATGGCAGATATTTAGCCCCTTATATATATACCCCCCTTTCCTTTCCTGGCATGGAATTTGAGTCACACTTGTATATACTTTATTTGATTTTTTCTGCTCTTGGGTCTCTAGATATATTAATATTTTTATTTACCATTTTACCATCAGGTTCTAGATTACACTCGATCGCTATAGATATTTCCAGATATGTGGTTAGTCCCTAGGACATAGGGAGACTGACTGCATTTGCGTAATATTTCTTGTTCTTTGTTTACTTGGGGTTAAGCCCCGCTAGGGATTTCTGGAGTCCCTTACCGGTACATTGATTTCTGTGTGTCACCTGTCACCACACCCTGTGTTTTTTTTCCCGGGAGGTGGTCTGTACAGGTGTATACACAGAGACACTGAACAGTGCGTTCACTGTGTGTTTTTTTCTATATGTGGAATATACACAAGGAGAATTTTATAGATAAATTCACATTTTCACAGTAAAACTAAACTAGAACACAATGTTTAACATCTTTCAGTTACTAATTACCTGCCAGTAAGAAAAGGACTCCGCCAGAGACAGCGATTCGACTTTTAGTAATGGGATTGTTATCACCCACTTTGGTACATTTCATGCCAACAACACTGATGATAATACCAATGAACCCCAGAAGCATGGCAACTACCATGAGTGCGCGGGTGGTTTGGATGTGAACTGAAATATAAAAAAAGAGGGTTTTGGGCAAATTTATTCATAACTTAATTGTTAGTTCTAGTTCTTCAAGTTTAGTTTATTTTCGGGACATTATATACAAAACGTATGCCATGCACCTTTAATTAGTATGTCTTTAATTATTACAGATCTTGTCCATATTACGGGACTCATGTAAAGGCATCATAATGTTCAGTCTATGACAAACTGTATCTCATCACAATAATAACTGAGGTAGAGAGTGTTGCAAATGGAATGAAGAAGACACAATTCTGAGATGGTTTGGTCTCAAGCAGTGACATTTTATTTAGCTTATCTTGGTTATTCGACATGCAATGAAAGCCAATTTACTCAATTCCCATCTATTCTGTTAAAACATAACTGTCTTATCTTTCGTTTGTTTTTGTCTAGAAGAGGTTATTTATTCCCTAATTCCACAAAATGTTTCCTTAATTTGCTGCAGTTGCAAATTATTGTTGGGTAAATGTATGGACTATTAAATATCATGGGCTTTTCTTCCTGGCATTAATATCAGAATGTTTAGTTACTGCCCTGCTGTGTATTTCAAGGTTGATGGCTGAGGTTAACATGAAGATTGACAGTACTAAAATTATAGATAATTTATAGATTTGGAAAAAAGGAGAAATGTATACACAACATCAGTTTTCTAATAGGCTAATTAAGTCTCCAAAAGCCTTTGGAAGAAATATTGATATATTCATACTATGTAGCTGCGATATGTTCTATGATGTTCTCTGCTACTCTACCACTCCTTATCGTGGAAGAAGAAATCTGCATCGCTGGGTTCCAGAAGACCTTAAGAACAAATGTGAAAAAAATCTATAATTTGCATTTCTCTACCCAGAAACTCTAGCTGCAGTGTCTGCTACAGAAAACTAATGGAAAAACATCTACTGACTTGACTAAATTGTACGTTTTTTCTTAAGAATTGTCTACTGGCTTTACTGTGGGTATGAAGAAGGATTTTTCATTTTCTTTTTACTTGCAATATTTATAATAATTATGTATATGAACCATGTAAAGAATAAAACTGGTCATACCTCGTCCTGCCTTTTGGATGGTATTGTCAGTGGAACTGTCCACAACAAGCATAAAGTAAGCACATCATTAGACACCCAAGTGCTATTTTCAGGGAACCATGCAGTGAGCACTGATAAAGCTTGTATTTTGATAATAGGTAATTTATTATATTGTCACAAGGATAGAAACAGTGATGTTCTATGCTCTGATAGGCTGATAGGATGCTTCATTTTACAGCTTTGTACTATATTCAGAAAATTCTTACTCATTTTGACCTCAATATTGTTGGATAAACTTTCCAAATGATTTAATATTTTTGGATAAACGTTTAAAATGATTTTTCACCATATTAATTTATTTAAAAATATATCGTAAATATAACAAAATATATCAATATATCAAAAAATATGAAACAAAATAATACAAACTTTTATATTTTTATAATATCAAATAATTTTAAATGTTTAGCCAAACAAATAAGTTGGAAAGGACCTTAGTCATAGGCATAATAACAAACAAAAAAGAAGGGAAAATCAAAACTAAAGCAGTCACGTGTAAGACAAAAAAAGTTGCTACATTTATTTAAATGCCACATCTAACTGTTGAAATTTCACTTTTACTAAAGATCACCTGACCACTTGTTTTTCTTGCGTGTATTTTGAGAGATATCTCCGCGGCTGAAAAATATTTTAAGAATGCGTTAATTTTAATAGAATACCATTAGTTTGTGGCCAACTACAAGACCCTTGCCAACATCAGAGCAGGGATTTATAGGAAAAACTAGATTTGAGCTTTCTCAATGCTACAACAAAGTACATTCCATGGAATAAAACCCAGGACTGCTGAGATCTGAATTAATCTCTTTGTTTTTTATAATTCCTCCCTTGAAGAACTGCTTGAACTTTCTTAGAGGAATTTTAATTTCAAATGAATGACAATATATATATGTATGAGAGAATCAGTTAACTTAATTTCAGGGAAGGACAGAGCACAATGCAGCACATGAATAAGCAATAGGGTCAAAGAATGTGACCTGTGATACACATTGATTATGAAAATAAAATAAAATCATATTCACATGAGGAGATCAAGGAGAATATTGCTTGGGAAATCTATCTCTTTAAACGTCTCACTACTGTAGCTATTGATCAGCAATAGTATTCCCTTATCTAGTTCATTGCTATGTGGTACCATGCTTTTACAGTGCATGTGAATATACATTTTTCTTATTTGTTTCGGCATTAAAAGACTACTTTTAGTCCCCAATGCACCGCTATGTGGATGATTGGATTGGACTAGAGATGCGTCAGCGTGACGTTACTGGGAGCAGGACGAGCGGCTGCAGGAGTTTATATGGCACTTCAAATAAGTAAATAGTACCCTTTCCCTCCCCCTCCCTCCTCCCTTCCCCCCAATTTTTATCTAGATTTTCAGGGGCCCTGAATCTAAATAAATAGGAGAAAACTGTAGCATTAAGAATACAGGTTTGTATTCCTAGCATTGTAGCTTTCTTTTAATGAAAATATTGCTAACTGGGTGACAGGAATTCATTTTTCAAAATTTCCTTCCAAGTAATTTTAGAATAGGAAGCGTGGTCAGGTTGAGTGATTAAAGACCTAAACAAGTACTAGAGTATATGTTTGTCTTATAACATAATCTAGCCAGTAGCCTAACATTTTTCATCTCAAGGCATAATTGTATTGTGAACTCACTGATGATATTACTGAAAAAACACTGGGAGATTTGTCAAAGTGTTGTATTCTGAAAAATGATGCAATGTACTAAAAGTGGGGCTATCGCCATGGAAATCAGTAGTGCCATCAGACACATTTCAGTGGTAACTCCTCCCCTTTTACATCTTTGCACCATTTATCTGAAGTCAACAGTTTGATAAATCTCCACCAATGTCATTTTTTACTGTCACACTTACAATACCATCCAAAACAACCATGATACAGCACAAAACAGTCCCACACATAGCTCTCCTCAACACTGGCTGGTATTGAAAACATCTGATGCTGGTGGTATTCGATGTCAAAGATTAAAGCTGGCTGAGAGTTGTGGGAGATATCAGTTAGAAACATCTGGTATGCTAGGCCTGACAATCACTGCATACAAATATTTTAATTTTTTTATCAAACCCTCTGCCCAAAGATATACCATTCTTATCTGGCTACATACAATGGCCTAGTCTTCTTTTTCAACATGTCTTTATTCTTTAAAAATATAGACTGACTTCAAACTGACTGACTACTCATAGTAGAGTGTATCCAAATATCAATGGTATCCGTATCTCCCAGACGACAAGGAGACGACAGGCGTATTTCTGTCACATTACCTGCTGTCCTATTTTCTTATACATTGAAATAGGTCTTTCATGTTAGGGCAGCATAATCATACTATGCCTCGCTTAATGCTCAGCCAGCCTTTTGTTACCAAACAGATCTCCCAGGATCACAAACTTGCTGTTCAGCACCAGCAGAAGATGCAGCTGTTTGCTGCCCAGAGGGTAACTGTTGGTCTACACTGCCCATTCTTTGCTAGCTGGTTGCTAGGTATTGTGAACAAGGGATGGTGATTTTTATTCGGATCAACGCTCCAAATGTAAGGTTTTAGTTAACCTTGACATTAAGTGAACAAACAAGGTGCCAAAAAAAATTAATAACATAAAAACAGAAACATTGTAAACTAGAACATTAAACTGTTTTTTTCCCCCCCCTAGCATTTCTAACATACTTTCATCATCCCAGCTACATTTTAGAGGTCTGTGCAAAGGAGTATATTAAAAATAAGAAAATGTATAAGAACAACAGACAAAGCTTAAACTGACACCCTCGACACAAGCACATTTTAAATCCATTTGTACTGTTTTTTTCATGCTCAAAAAAAATATATATATATATATATATTTATTTAATTAATTTTTAAAACATTTTTTAAAGAATGTTGCTTTATAAGTCTGCCCTCTGAGCCTCTTCTTATTCTATAACAAAAAGATTTTCTTATCAATGTATATACACACAGGGTTGAGAAGAGGATCACAGACACCTATGCGCATGACTTCACAATGCCGTATAAGGATAAAACTAAATTGTTCTGCCCTTTTCACATCTCATTTTTCTCCCTTTATACACCTCAGCCTACCCTTAATCAAGGACATCATAGTAAACATGCTCAAACTTTACAGAAATGCGGTTGCTAGTAATAATGATTAACCATAACTCTGCTGAATTTGGTGGAATACTCTTCCCGCTACCAACATTCTAAACCAGTTATGAATATGCAAATTTTCTACTGTGTATGTGACTACCGTGTTTCCCCAAAAATAAGACATTCCCTGAAAATAAGCCCTAGGTTATTTTCAAGTGATGCTCCTAATATAATCCCTACCCTGAAAATAAATCCTAGCCATTCGCTAATCTATGTTTCGGGAAATTGCCCGAACATAGATTCGCGGAATTCCATTTGCTTGTAAGCTAATCTATGTTCAGCAAAGTTTCCCCAAACATAGATTTGCAGGATTCCATTCCCTAGTGAATTGGTCTATGTTCGGGGGAATTCCCCTGAACATAGATACTCAAGATTCCATTCGCGAGTGAACTCATCTATGTTTGGGGAAGTTTCCCCCGAACATAGATTTGCGGTATTCTATTAGCGAGTAAACTAATCTATGTTCGAGAAAGTTTCCCCAAACATAGATTTGAAGGATTCCATTCCCTAGTGAATTGGTCTATGTTCGGGGGAATTCCCCTGAACATAGACCTGCTTTCTAGCACACGTTTTTCCCAGAAGTAAGACCTACCCTGAAAATAAGCCCTAGTGCGTTTTTCGGGGGAAAAATTTATATAAGACCCGGTCTTATTTGGGGGGAAACACGGTACATATGTAATCAGTATACGTGTACCTGTGTATTTTGTGTGTATGATGGCCTGTATATAATGTGTGCATGTGGGCATGTACTTTAATGTGTAGGAAACATTTGGTGGGTGGGTGGGTGGGTAGGTGAATTTGCTTGCATTGGTGGATAAATGTAGGTTGATGGGTGTGGAGAGCTATGTGACTGGTTGGTTGGTAGTTGTAGGTGATTAGGTGGGTAGGTTTATGTGAGCAGAGAAGTGAATGATCCGTAAGATGTGACAGGATGGGTGAGTGTGGCTATGGGTAGACATGTGACTGGGTGTGTGAATATAACAGTGTTGGTAAATAGATGTAATTCAAGGATGGTGTAAATGTGATTAGGTGGGTGACTGTAAAGGGGTATGTGCCACTAGGTGTGGCTGGGTGGATGTTTCTGGGTGACAGTGTGTAATAGGTTGGGAGTATGCGACAGGGTGCATGACAGATGAATATACCTAAATGGAGACCGATGGAGTCGCTAACAAACTAGTTAGGTGGATGACTGTAAAACAAATCCACAGAAGTAAGTAAATGCAACCTATGTATTCCCTCACCTTGCCCATCCATACACAGCTCAGCCACTGAAAGTATTGAGTATTGATCTGAAAAGGCAGCTTCCATTAAAGCAATCATCTGTGATCTGTGATCTGCAATCATCTGTGGTACACAAGGTAGCAAGGAAATTTAAAGGAACACTCTGGCCACCATAACAACTTCACTTAAATGAGGATGTTATGATGTCAGGAGGCCCCCTGGTTCCTTTTCACCCTATGAGGTTAAATATTTCTCAAAAGGTTTAACCCCAAAGGTCAGCCTCCAGCTCCAGTTCTGAAGTTACCCCAGGTAGCATCAGGCTTCTGAAATTGAGTTTCAGGATGCTCGAAGTACAGCCGAGCAGGGCTTCTGCTGATTGACTAGAGCGATAAGCTGACGCTCTAAGCCAATCAGTAGCTCCCCACTGATGAATTTTTTTTTCTAAGAATAGGGAGTTACTGATTGACTTGGAATTACAAAAACTCAATTTCAGAAGCTAGGTGCCACCTGGGGGAACTGCCAATCCAGCGCTGGAGGCAGCCTTTTGGGTTAAACCGTTTGAGAATGGTTTAACCCCTTAGGATAAGAAGGGGCTTCCTGGCACAATCACAACTCAATTAAGATGAAGCTGTAATTAGCTGTAATCATCTGTAAGACTGCTTTGCCAGGATTTTTATAACCACAGTTCTTGCACACACAGAAGTATTCATAGTGAGCCAGTAGAATGCTGAATGATGGCGGACCTATGTGTTACCTTCCTACAGAAATGCATTTAATTTACATAGAGTTCTATGGAAAATCATGCAAGAATATGTTGCTGACACAAACTATCAAACACAAACAATAATATGGGATTGCTCAGAGGGAGGTGGATTTCTAGGACTTTCAAGTTGGGAGACAGAAAAAGTCCTTAATAAATAACGCACACTTCATTGTCTAAATCTTTAGCCTCATTCTTACACACATTTTATTAGCCACTCTCAGGCTATCAGATTCTCAGCACCAATTATAATTTCAGTGTTGCCATGGCAACCTTCCACAGTGGATTTGTCCAGTCCCGATTTAGGATTAGGATTACTAGGGATTAGGGTGCATTAAAATTAAGGTTTTATGAGCAGTCCTGCACTCAAGATTCTGTGGACTGTAGATCCTTCATTTTCTAGCAGAAGAGTGTTGAGAATCCAGTATTCATGAAGATTAGAGGTACACTATTGTACACCTACCATCTAAGGACACTGAGCAGAGTATTTTTAAAATAAATAAACCATTAACGAAGATGGCTTTCACAAAAAATATTGCCCTGGATGCAGCATTCTCCAATGCCTTTGTGGTTCATAATGATTAAAGCTTCAATGTCACCTCATTTTAAAAATACTCATTCTGACTGTGTTGGAATTTCACTGAAATTCCAACCCAGTCAAGAAATATGCAGAGACAAAGTAGGGACTACTTGGTCCCTGCATGTCTCCTCCGTCTGACTTTCTCAGACTCAGGGTGATGGCAGCAGGGAATTGGCTGTGTCTATGGAGTACCCTGCAGTCTTGCTGGTTCCCCCATAGACTTTATTCTGTACTCTCGCACGTGCGTACAGCAGTGACGGCGGCTCCTGGAGCTTCTGAGCCGCGTCTACGAGGGACAGGTTCAGCTAAGTAATCTCACCTCTACCTGCCCCTACCCCCCGGCTAGACGGACTGCCAGCAGTGATTTCACCATCAGGGGTCTTTGCGAATTCTGCAAGGTCCCCAGACGGTGGCAATGCTGCTTTAAGTACCATCCCCTCCCTTAAAGCCCACTAAACAGTTTTCTTGGCCACTGGAGGTGTCTGATGTGCTAACTAATGAAACCAGATATTAAGGCAACAAGTGTAACCAGACATCAAGGTCATGGCAATGCTTCATGCAGCAACGGCTACTAAGCCACATTGTCAGGGAAATACTGTAAAGGTCAGCATTGCAAACTGACTCGTTCACATTCTACACTGATGTGATTTGTGCTTTTCCATTGGATATACTATTATTCAAGGTACAGTTGGATTCAAGCATTATCCCGCTGTGTTCTTGTAATGTACCATAACAATGGATAACACATTGCAGGGCAAAGGTATGTAATGAATTATGCAGAGCTCATTTTAGTGATATGGAGTTGTGTTGCAGATACATATATTACATCCCATAGCCAATGACTGGGTTTAACACACACAGGGTGATTTACTAATGTGAGCATTCAAAGGGAATTCAAATTTAAGGTCAAAATAGTCAAACTGGATAAATTCTCCAAGTAAGCTATGCTTTCGTTAGTGCTAGTCTGCCCTTAAATTTGAAATTTACCTTGAATTCACATTTTAGTGAAAAGCTGTAACAAACACCCAATGTGGGGTCAAAATGTTGCTGGGACAGGTGACTAGCGAATTTACCTTGAATTCACATTTTAGTGAAAAGCTGTAACAAACACCCAATGTGGGGTCAAAATGTTGCTGGACTAGCTTGACAAAGACCCAATGTAGGGTCAAAATGTTGCTGGACTAGCTTGACAAAGACCCAATGTAGGGTCAAAACGTTGCTGGACTAGCTTGACAAAGACCCAATGTGGGGTCAAAACGTTGCTGGACTAGCTTGGCAAAGACCCAATGTAGGGTCAAAACGTTGCTGGACTAGCTTGGCAAAGACCCAATGTAGGGTCAAAACGTTGCTGGACTAGCTTGACAAAGACCCAATTTAGGGTCGAAACATTGCTGGCCTAGCTTGACAAAGACCCAATGTAAGGTCGAAACGTTGCTGGACTAGCTTGACAAAGACCCAATGTAGGGTCGAAACTTTGCTAGAAAAACATTATTCTAAATAAATGTGCCCTACTATGCTTTGGAGAGCCTGGACCTTTTTCTTCCACCTTGGTTTCAACTCTTTGGGGTTTGTGCTAGCCTCTGGCCTGGTTGCACTCAGTTATTTTGCTTAAATGAAATTAGTGCAATTCTATCTGTATTTTGTTGAGAAACTGTAACAATGTCACAATGGGGTTTATTAAAGGACCTCTATAGTCACCCAGACCACTTCAGTTTAATGAAGTGGTCTGGGTGCCTGGTCCAGCTAGGTTTAACCCTTTTTCTATAAACATTGCAGTTTCAGAGAAACTGCTATGTTTATATTAGGGTTAATCAAGCCTCTAGTGGCTGTCTCATTGACAGCCGCTAGAGGCGCTTGCGTACTTCTCACGGTGATTTTCACAGTGAGAAGATGCCAGCGTCCAAAGTAAAGCATTGTGAAAGCTTTCCTATGAGACTGGCTGAATGCGCGTGCGGCTCTTGCCGCGCATGCGCATTAAGCCGAGGAGGAGGAGAGGAGGCGGGGAGGAGGAGGAGAGTCCCCCGCCCGGCACTGGAGAAAGAGGTAAGTTTAACCCCTTCCACCCCCTAGAGTCCGGCGGGAGGGGGACCCTGAGGGTGGGGGCACCCTCAGGGCACTATAGTGCCAGGAAAACAAGTATGAAACTGGAATTATAGTGGTCCTTTAACTATAGCAATGATTTGTGGTGAACTGAAAGCCAGGCTAAAATAACCAGCTGCAAATATCGATTGATTTATAGAATTGTTGCAAAAATCCTTAATTTCATATTCCAATTCCCTGTTAAGTGAAAAAAAAAACACTATTTATCATTACTTTATCATTATTCGTAGGTATAATTGTTCCTGAATGCATCATCATATTTTAGATTAATTTAGAAAAACTATCCCTTTATAATACACCCAGCAATATTGATTTAGTCCAGCAAGGAAAAAAGACTTACCTATTGTGTTTGGAAGAGTTTGAGCTGCTAAAGTTATACAACAGGGTTGTTATTGCCATGATTTGGTAAAAGATAAACCTTTAACAGAGCAAATTCCAAGTGAATTGAGTTTAAAATTTTAGGCCAACATAGTTATCTTGTAAACAGAGGTGACTTTTAGAATATTTCCAATTCGGCTACTTTGCAATCAATTTTGCGATACACTTTGAAATCACTTTGAATTGCTGTAAATTAAATTGTCGTGCATAGTGTAAAATAGATTTCAAGATTAATTTCAGAACCTTGAGTGTCCATTACATATCGTCAATATTTTCCCCACTTGTCCCAGACCTGACCAGCCCCGGTTCAGTCCTGGTGTCAGCTAATCTTCAGTACGGTAAAGGGTATTGTTTACCGTTATTGCAATAAAGACTACAGGGTGAAAGTCTGTGACATGGCTCCAGCAGACTGGTCATTATTTACTTTCCATATCACATTGCATAATTTACATAGTTACATAGCTGAAAGCAACATATGTTCATCAACTTCAGCATTTCTCACATCTGTTTTTTTCTTTTCATGCAAAAGAAGGCAAAACCCCAGTTTGCGGTGCTTTCCAATTTTGCAACAAACTAATGTCAGTGGTGCAAAACATGGACAATATACTGTAACATTCATTATGGCACCCAGGAGTCCTGCAAACTTTCCAAAATCAGACAACACAATAATAACGAATATTGACTTACTAGTATTTATAAGACTAGAGCACCTTTTCCGCACAGGCCACATTTCTCTCACAGTCACAGCCTGATCCACCCTTTTCATTTTGTCCATTATTTGGTTGGTTCTGTGGGCCCTGCAGCCCTATTAGAACTGGCCTAGTATCAGGGCAGAGATCTCTCTTTAACTGCTCTTTAACAGGCTGATCTTAAGAATAGGAGGTTGAATATGATGTCATATTCCTGTGCCCACACGCACTCTGCTCCACAGGGCAGGTGAAAAGATGTTTTTCCATGACAGAGGAAAACAGGTATTACTGGGAGATGAGGGAGAAATAGGAGCATATGTGGCTATCGTAGGAGCCCAGGTGATGTGGCTGTCGTAGGGGCCCAGACGATGGCCATGTCTACCACTGTGCTTTTATTTAATATATAAAGGTCTAGTAGCCTAACAAATATGTGGTTATGCCAAGGTCCATGTTTTTCAGTTCCCTGATAAATCTTATTCATGGAGGATTTCATAAGAGCTGGAATTTCCATATACACCATATATTAACCACTTAAGGACACATGACATGTCATGATTCCCTTTTATTCCAGACGTTTGGTCCTTAAGGGGTTAAAGGACAGCTATATAATTCTTAGGTCCCCCCCCCACCCTCAGGGGACCCCTCCCGCTGGGCTGAAGGGGTAAAAACCCCTTCAGCCACTTACCTTTATCCATCGCGAGGCTCCCTCGGCGCTGGTGACCTCTCCTCCCCTCCATCAGCTCCCGAGCGGAGCCGAATGCACATGCGCGGCCAGAGCCGCGCGCACATTAAAAAGGCCTATAGGAAAGGATTTCTCAATGCTTTCCTATGGACGTTCTGTGTGCTCAATGCAATTTTCGCATTGTGCGATCGGGGAAACGCCTCTAGCGGCTGTCATTGAGAGAGCCACTAGAGGCTGGATTAACCCTGCAATGTAAACATAGCAATTTCTCTGAAACTGCTATGTTTACATGTGAAGAGTTAAAACCTGGGGGACCTGGCACCCAGACCACTTCATTGAGCTGAAGTGGTCTGGGTGACTATAGTGGTCCTTTAAAGGACACATATAATGTCTTCATGTTAATGGTAACACATGTATAATGTATGTGCTGCAGGCTTCCTCATTGGTTGATGACTTAATTTTATACAGACGCTTCTGAATTCTATATAACGTAATGTAGCACTCTTCATGTACTGCCCATCATTATTTCTAAGTGATAGGTGTCCTTAAGAGCTGTCTGCTGAGATGTCCCAATACATGCCAATATGCATCAGCCCCTTACTATGAGAAAGGTATTTAAGAGGACTGTTCACTAAAGTGTGATTTGAGGTGAGCTGATCGGCAACTTGCAAAATGCACGTAGAATAGCTGAGTTGTAGATCTGGCCTGAAATAGTTAAACATTTAATGCATACAAGATAAAAATGTGTTCTTTGTGCATGTTGTGATATTTATATTTCAGACACACTATGATATTAGATCGATCAAACTACTGTTTCTAAAGGACTTTACTTTCAACTCTCACATAGTTATTTAAAGGACCACTATAGTCACCCAGACCACTTCAGCTCAATGAAGTGGTCTGGGTGCCAGGTCCCTCAGGTTTTAACCCTTCAGATGTAAACATAGCAATTTCAGAAAAACTAGAGTTTGTTTTCCTGACACTAGAATGATCCTTTAATAAAGTGAACTTTCAATGTGAATTTTACATTTAAGATCACAGTAGCCGAAATTGAGAAATTCTTTAATTGAGCTTTGCTTTCGCTTCAACTACTCTGACCTTAAATGTGAAATTCACTTTGAATTCTCACTTTACTAAATAGCCCTGCAAGGTATGTTTTACTTGCTATAGTTAGGTTGGAATTTGTATAGATTGGAAGTAATAAATGATCCCATGAACCCCACTTTACCAACAGAAATCATTCAATAACTAAGAATACACATGATTGTCCCATCTATAATTTGTTGCAATGCAAAGAAAAAAAAATGAACAAAAACATGATAATAATATAAACAAATAGCATGTTTACATTTCAAAGAAACACTTTTAAAACACGCTGACTGTAGAAGGTGCCATAATCAAATAAACTGAAATTATAACTAACCATGCGTGCATATTTATATGGTTGTGTGCATATTTATATACCCGTATGAGAATTTTCACATACCTACGAATATATATTATTTTATCATATTCATCAGTGCTGTACGATGGGTTTATAAAACAAATTAAATACAAGCAAACAAAGTGAATAGAATAATGAGGCAATACTAATAATTAAATGTTAATTGTTTCAATGTTTCAGAGTTTAATTGCCTCTCTATAAATAATGGTATTATTAATATACCACTAATAATATTAATAAATAAGAATAATCTCATGCAATTATTTAACATGTAGAGTATAGTTAGCTTTTGCTAGTTTTCAAGTATATATATTATCTGTTATTTATATTATATAAAAAAACAAAGGTGTGCTTTACATTTAGTCTTGCAAAAATATATTTAAAGTCCAACTTTGTTTGGACTTGATATATATGTTATGGATTGTGTTTAACCATTACATTTCATTATGTTTCAGCAATTGTATTGTTTATATAGCACCATCTAATAACTTATTCTATTGCACTTTATGATGTTATTATTTTACTAATAGAACTCCTAGCATGTATCAGCGATGTATCAATGTGTAGCAGCCTCAGCCCATACTAGCTATATTGCATGACACAGGTATAGCAGTTACTGTGAGCTGTAACATTGCCCTTACATACCATCCAGGGAGAGCAGAGAGTCATACACTTTGCACTGCACTTGCCCAGTACTTTGAGAAGCACATGACATCCACAGTCCCTCATACAGTCCCACTGCTGTGATGATAGCATCTCCTGCATAAGATGATTGCTTCCACTGAGGTAGTGCTGTGGTGGAGATAATACCAATCCATCCTCCAAGGGCAAGGAAATAGCCAAGGAGTTGGAATCCTGAATTGGCCATAATTCATAAAAAAAAATGTAAAAGAAAAACTTGGAATATTCTTTAAAAGAAATTAAAGTTATTTTGACCCTTCTATTCCCAGCAGGCAGAAAGATATCCACTTGGTCTCTGATGGTCTATTGGAAAGGTTTGGGTCACACAGTTGTCTTCTCCAATGTCAAATGAACCTTCTCTAGAAATTGATGCCACCAAGGATGAACCCAGTTGAGTAGAAACAGTTCTAGGTTGGGATTGGTAAGGTACAGCTCAGATCTGAGAAACTCATGTTCACACTCCAGTGAGTATCTCTAGGGCACTCAGGGGACAAAGCACTTACAAAGAAAAAAACATTACACACTAATGTCTTGATGTGTAATCAGCTTGCAGAATGCAGAGGGGCTGAGCTACAGATTAATGGTATTTCATGGTAACACCCACAGAATAGACAAGCATACAAGGATTTGGGATTTAACTGTTTGGGGTCTGCA